AGAGTCGCTGCTATAATATTAATAATACTCTTAGGAAGGTGTAACAAGGTAATTAAAAACTTGTGCTTACCTTAAAATCTCTTTTAAACTACACACAAACAGAACATTTATATAGAGCGTTTATATTACAAAGTGTCTATATAGATATTTATACTATGTGTATACGTCACATTTTTACAAGGTGTGTACTATAGGCACAACTATGATACGAAGTATCACACATACATATGACTTATACATTGTATGTCTCATAGTCTCATATACCGACGTCAGATTTCATCATTTTAATAATTATTTGTTACGTTACAAAAAACTCTTTAGAATCTTGAGTGCATACGGTATACAACTAGTAAACACTGTATCACACAATTCTATCAATATAAACCTGGGTGTATCTCATATGTATATGTTAGAACTAGATGAACACTTAGGTTCACTTTAACATATTTTGTTTCTCATGTGTCTCCCTTGTAGAAACGTATTTTCATTTGGACGTGCTGTATGGGTAATTTCATGACGTTTCGACCCTTACTTGGTCTTTTTCCAAATGAGTAACTTGAATTATTTAATCTTCGTATTAAATGATATCTTCTACTTGTTTCATCCTGAACGTATATTTGTTACTTGTTAAAACTTACCCTAATTTTTAAAAGTCAATAAACCGTACACACACAGGCAACATAGGTATATACAGGGTGTCACAGAAACAAGTGCAAGTATTTTAAGGGGTGGCAGACCTAGTCAAAAGAAACATTTTTTCTCTTTACCATTTTTCAAATAAGTCCAAAATAACCAAGTTATTTTACTTTGAAAATTTAAACAAAAAATGCTTTTTTGCTTAAATTTTGAGCACCACTGGATCTTTTCTGGATTTTCTTTCATGTAAATTTAATCTACTACCCATGTTGTCATATTATCAAAAAATTATGTTTTTTAACTTAAAACTAAAAAAAAATCCAAAATTTTTTTAAAAAAATTCTAAATTTTCAATTTTTTTTCGCAAAAAAACCTCATAGGCGTGTTTCTGAGGCCAAAATATACTGCCAGTTGAAATACTTGCACTCATTTCTGGGACATCCTGTATAGGTTACCATCATAAAATTTTAGACTACTTTTGAATAGCCCGATGGACGGCTATTCCAGCTCTGCCTGATATAGTTTACTTACGTTTAGTTTTTTTTGGAGATATTTACTTTTGAAGAAAACTTTGAAGAGATATTGTTTGTTGGCATCAGTTACTCTACGAACCCTAACAACTATATGTTGGGATAAGGTCATATTTTGGAATTATTGCCCTGGTTTTTCAAAATGACTGAAAAATATATTACAGTTGAGTTGAATAAACTAGAACAGTTTATAATCATCTGCTGATGATGCTAACATGGTTAGCGAAACGCGCGTCCAGTGTAAAAGTAAAAGTGTTTTGGTGTATTGTGGTGATTTAGTGGTTTATTTTGCTGAGAAATATATGTATGTATAGGTACATATAATATATGTATGTATATAAATATATGTAATTTTTAAAATATAAACATAGCCGTATATCCTAAACAACTTGACAATATTTTTATGAATTTGTAACCCATCCATATTTGCAGTAGCGGATTTTGTTCATAAAAGGACAAACTTGCTGACAACTAAATGTTGGGACAAGTATTTTTAAATAATTAATACCATCATAGGCGGCTTTGCTATAAACGTCACAAATGTCGCAAACTGTTTACTTCAGCAAGTACTTTTAATTTTTTTAATTTTCAATTTTGTTAATTATTTAATTCAAAGTAATGGTCCGTGGAAAAGCTACAAATCAAAAACTACGCGAAATTATCATTCGTCAATACAATACGGGAAAAATAATTCGATAAATTTCTGATGGTTTAAGTATTCCAAAAACCACGGTCTTTAATATAATAAAAAAATACGGCGAATCCGCCAATGTAGACGATAGAGGTAAAAGTTCGGGAAGGCCAAAAGTTGTATCTCAAAGAGATTTACGAAATTTAGTAAAAATTTACAAGTCTGCGAGAAGAAGTACTCTTCGCGAAGTAACAGTTAAATGGAATACTGTAACTGGTTTAAATATATCAAGAGAATGTTGCCGAAAATATATCCATAAATGCGGTCTGGGGCTTTACAAGGTAAACTTTGTTTTGTGTGGATAATGAATTACCTAAAAATTATTGATACAAATTCTTATTTAGGCCAAAGAAAAGCCGCTACTGACAGAAATTCAAAAGAAAAATCGCTACAACTGGGCAAAATCTAAATTATCGTGGACACAAAATGATTGGAATAAGGTCATATTTAGCGATGAGTCTAAATTTGATGTTTGCGTTGGAGATCATCGAAAACGAATAATACGAAATAAAGCAGAAGCCTTTCATAAAGATTGCTTAAAGAGGGTTGTTAAATTTTCTAAGGGGATTATGGTTTGGGGTTGCATGTCAGCAAGAGGTTTGGGCAAATTAAATTTTATAGATGGCACTGTTAACGCCCAAAAATATCAACTCGTACTATAGCTACACATAGCTTAAAAATCATAGAATAAAATTATAGAACTTTAAAATACATGAACATTTTAAGATGTACGTTTTTCGTGCCGATGAATATGCAGAAATGTATAATGAAACACTGTGTTGGTTAAATTTTACATATAAAATGAAAGCGATCTTCTTTTCCAAGCCAACTCTGACGCAAATATTGGCAGTCTTCATTTGTGGATTATTATAAGTGTTGGGTTTTTGAAAGCCGTACGACGTACGATGCGTACAAGGCCTTAGCGCAGGACCTTGATCGCCGCCGGCGGGGAGCGCGTCGCTGGCAGAAGGCAGAAGTCACGTAGGCCCACAGCGCAGCCGAAAAGCACTTGTGTCTAGCCCTAGCAGGCAACTGTTAAGCCCGACCAATCACGTTAGAGTTTTTGACAAACACAAATGAATTACCACACTCCAAATAACCACGCTAACCAACCTGATTGGTCAAGCTTAATAGTTGACGGCTAGGACTAGACTCTTCTCGAAAAGCTTACAAAAACTTAGTATTGCCTGGTGTTTAAGGGGGAGTGCATCGCACTACCATTTTTCTGTTGTCGTGTTATTCAGTAAATTAGAAATAAAGACCATATTGACAAAGACACTCGATTTATTGTCTGTAGCCGTATATAAAAAGTAAACATCATTGAAAAAGACGCTCCATTTTTGGTCCTTCGAGTCGGATAATTGGAAAAGTCCAATTAAGGAAAGAATACGGCTACAAGGCTACATTTATCGAACAAAAGGAACAGGTCAGTGCATCAAGGAAATACAAATAATACAGTGACTTTAAGGACTACCAGGCTAATACTCATTTAAGGAAAGTTAAGGGAATTTAAAGAAGGTCAAGGGACATTTATATGGTTTAAGGAAATTTAAGGTTTAAGGACATTTAAGAAGATTTGAAGGTTATCTACACAGACTGGATACTGACCGAGGTAGGTGCAGTGCGCAACAGGGTGAGCAATTTTAATTTTATATATTTTTGCTTTGATTCATATTTGTCAAAATAAATATTTTTCGTTTGGCTTATTTGACAAAATAAATAGTTTTTGCTTGATTTATTCGAAAAACAGATATTTATGGTTGATTTAGTTGACAAATAAGTATTTTCTTTTGATGTATTTGGTACACATAATTGTTTTATTGTGCATTTTATTATTATTTTGTGCATTAAATTAATTATTGTTTGTATTTTTGTTATTAAGGTGGAAAAAAGGTTAAATTTTAAATAGATTTTGTTATTTATAAGTCCAGTTTTTTCAAATTTATGTACCATTTCTTTTTATTACTTTTGTAAGTTATTAAATTGATTTGTGTTTTATATTTGTAAGGGACGGTTTGTAAAGACAGCGCACTTGGGTTAAGAATCTGTGTCAGATTTAAGGATAATTTAAGGGTAAGGTAAACATTCATAAGGGTTTTTAAGGTAAAGGTTAAGGTTTTAAGGTAAAGGTTAAGGTAAAGGGTCAAGATGACTGATCTAGCTAAATTGACTCGAAAAAGGGGAAATATTAAAGGGCAGCTTACACGGTTAGAAACTTTTATTCAGAATTATGACTCCTCTAAACATCATGAGATTTCGATACGTCTTAAAAGAGCGGGGGAGTGGTGGGATGAATTTGAAAGCATCCAGGACGAAATTGAGGACCTGGATGATTCGGATGAGCAAGTGGCTGAACGCGATGATTTTGGTACAAAGTATTTTGACATTCTTGGTCGCCTAAATTTGCTTGCGCACGGTGGGAGTACACAGGACTCAACTGCTCCAAGAACGGAAGTACGTCTTCCACCAATGGAAGTACCTATCTTTTATGGTTCATACAAGCAGTGGTTGGAATTTCACGATTCTTTTAAGTCGTGTAGATTCGAATTTGTCTTTAACTAATATTCAAAAATTTTATTATCTAAAAGGGGCGCTTAAGGGTACGGCGGCTAATGTGATCCATTCGTTGGAGGTGTCTTCAGAAAATTATCAGGTTGCATGGGATCTTTTAAAGGAAAGGTTTGAAAATAAAAAGTTAATCGCTCTTAGTCATATTGACTCTATTTGCAATGTACCGGGTCTTACCAAGGAGTCTCATTCCGGGTTAAGGAAAATGTTAGATGAGCTGCGTAAGGATTTAAGGGCACTCAAAATTTTGGGTTTAGGCGTAGAACACAGGATACATTAAAATACGCAACCAACCGTCCAATCAGATGAAAGAGGTACGTACCCTATCGTTGGGTATTGTGCAATCACGTGATGGTGATGCTCATGTCGTATGACGGTTAAATCTTTGGTTAGAATTTTTGTTGTTGTTTTTACCGAAGAGTTTTTACCTGTTTTTACAGTTTTTACTTTATTTTTCTATTTACATCAGATTTATATTTTGTAATTGCCTATCAGACAATACGTATTTAGAAAAATAATAAGAATTAGGATCGTGTTTTTTTTAAATCCTGGATATTAATTGAAACCCTTTGGTAACATTACTGCTTTTGATATAAAAAGTGCATTTTTGATTATTTACTTGGGTTAGGATATTAAAATATCGGTTGGATTGTACGACATAAATAGATGTAGGTATGATTATTTATATATATGTATGTATTTATAAAGCTTACTATCTGTTTTGCATTTTCAGTTTTTGATCAGACATTTGATTTTATTTGTGAAATGCCCACAAAAAAGCTTCCAATGATTCAACATCAGTGTGTTTGCTGCATAATGGATCATTCCTGCTGAATTTTTAGATCATTTGAAGACTACACGGAAAAAACCAGATAATATGTTACATTTTCATAGAAATTGATAGCGAGACAATTTTATAGGCAAGTGTTAGCATTATTCGAGGCACCATCAAAGAAAGCAATAATAATATGCTTAGTCCCAGATATATTACAGCTTAGTTATTTTTTGCCCTACAGGAGAAAAAACCAGAGTAGTTCACTCGTAATTGCATTTTCTCGGCTCCAGTTAAAATGAACAAAGCTGGTTTTTCCTGTGGTCTTCATTTGAAATAACGTAAATAAATGTTTATACATATGTATGTGATGATTAAATTGGTGTTAAGGAAATAAAAATGTCTTTCGATATTAATATATATTTTTCGATATTAATATATACCTAGGTATAGGTATATGTATATTTATTTTGAAATAAATTACACTTTTAACAGTTTAATGGAGTTTTTAAAGCCAGTTATAATATTTATATTTTAAAAACTTGAAATCATAATGTGGATGTAATCACGCATTAAACCACAGACTAACTTATATAAGTCAAAAAGTAGATTTTAGTGTTAACTTTATATAACTTGTAAGTAAAATAATAACAGGTATCTGGTACAATAATAGGTATCTGATATCCTCACTTAACGTAGAATAATATTCTACCCAACTCAATACTATGTCCAACAAGAGTTTCAAATATATCGGGCCCTAATCGTTCCTGAAAATAGTATTTTTTTACATTGTTATAGGTACCATATTCTAAACTATTTAATATTTCAGTCACTTAAAAAGTTAATTTGTATTGAATAATTGCCTACCATTAAAGCAAATTTGGATTAGTATTCTTAATGGGCATATTCTGTGTATGGATATAGGTACTTCCTCCAGATTTTGGGTTCAACCAATTTATTCTTAAAACCTGAAACATCTACATATAAAAAATAGACAGGTTACTAATTATAATAAAATTTACCCTTAGAATTATACTTCTTTAACAAATAATTTCCATTGGTATACTTTTCCATGACAAGTAATCAACTTCCTAACATTTTTTAATTGATGTAATACTTCCTCACGATGCGAAAAGAAAATCTTTTCTTTAGCACAACAAAGGACAAACGATATGTTGGCTTACTTTCAGATTAGTTACTTTTCCATAGATATCCTCATGTCAATTCAAAGACGATGAACATGAAAATGATCATCACATGAAACATCACAAACTAAAACCTAATAAACAAGTTTATATCGAATATAGAAATAAATTTAGTGTTCTTACCTATTGTCGTCCAAATCCACGTTAATAGATAATTAATTTTTTGATTTTTATCTTTTATTTTTAAATATATCTTTCGAACTACTGGTTTTAGTAATTATTAAATTAAACGAACTAAAAAGTCAAAAATAATAAACAATTAATTCTCTTGTCAATTGTCAATTTTCTCCAGGTACCGAACATCATCGATAACGCACGATCTACAACGATTACTCCTTTGATCTGATTGGACGGTTCAATGACGGTTGGTTGCGTATTTTAATGTATCCTGTAGAACACTGGGATCCAATACTAATTTACTTGCTTGAATCGAAATTGGATCCTATTACCAGGAAGGAGTGGCAAAAACAAGGTTCGGTCGATAAATTTGCTACTATGGATGATTTTTTTAAATTTTTGGTAAACAAATGTGCAGTATGGGAAACCAATATCAGATCTTCAAATACTGATGACCAAGGGAAAGGGAAACCTCACCTACCCCCTCCCCGATCTACAACTAAAACATTTAGTTGCATACTTTGTAAGGCAGATGAACATTGTTTACAGAAATGTAAACAATTTTTGGATATGTCGTTGGAGGACAAGAGGGGAGTGGTGTCAAGGTCAAATGCTTGTTGGAAATGTCTCAAACTGGGACACAGGGTGCATGCATGTACATCTGGAGGTTGTAGGCGTTGTAAGGGAAAACATCATCTTCTGCTGCATGATAATCAGCACACAGGTAAGGAAACTCGGGATTCCAAGGAAGGCGCAGCGGAAGGAGGTGGCTCAAAGGTATTTAACGGTCATAGTAGTGAAGATAAAGGTCTCGAGATGCAAGGTGTAAAAAAGGAAATTACGGAGGTTCTCTTGTCTACTGCAGTTGTAAGGGTTAAGGATATAGAAGGTAAATGGTATGAGTATAGGGCGTTGTTAGACTGCGGGTCACAGACTTCATTCGTGACCAAGGCGTTTCGTGATATATTGAGGCTTCCAATGAAAAGGATAAACAGTTCAATTATGGGTATAGGGCCCGAAACCATGAGCATTGATCACTCGGTAGTTGCAAGGATTTATTCGATTCATTCGCAATATAATGCTGACGTGGGGTTTCTGGTAATGGATGAGATTTCTAACAACATTCCTTCGGTTAGTATTGATTTAAAATCACTTAATTTACCTGAAAACATTAATTTGGCGGATCCATCTCGTGGTGAACCAGGTAAGATCGATATGCTATTGGGTGCTTCAGTGTTTTGGTTCGTTTTGGGCACAGAGAAGGTTGAATTAGGTAAAGGTAAGCCTCTACTTTATGGAACAAAGCTGGGATTCGTGATTGCTGGGACTATGCATTTAAAACCAGGGCAAATGCAAGTGCATAAGCAATCACAACCAAAAAGGTGTCATTTCTCATCTAACTGTTCGGTTCAGGGGCAGTTAGAAAAATTTTGGGCTCTAGAAGAAATAGGTTATGAGAAACGACTAACAAGGGAAGAAGAAGAATGTGAAAGATTTTTCGCGGAAACGACGAAACGAAACGAAGATGGCAGATTCGTTGTCAAGTTGCCAATACGTGTCGGGGTACCAGAGTTAGGCAATTCAGTCAATCTGGCGATAAAAAGGTTTTCTTCATTGGAGAAAAAATTAGAAAGGGACAATGAATTGAAGGAAATGTATCACGCATTCATAAAAGAATATCTTTTATTGGGCCATATGTCTAGAGTATATTCGGATAAGGAAATTAATGAACCTGTAGCGTATTATCTACCACATCACGCGGTTATGAAGAAAACATCACTGACCACCAAGCTAAGAGTTGTTTTTGATGCCAGCGCACCAACTAACACTGGAGTGTCTTTAATTAATCAGCTAATGGTCGGTCCAAAGCTGCAAGATGATATTTTTGATATACTAGTACGTCTTAGGAAATATGCAGTAATCATAACAGCTGATGTGGAGAAAATGTTTAGGCAGGTTTGGGTTGCGGAGGAGGATCAGGATCTGCAAAGAATTTTATGGAGATTCAACGAGGATGAACCCATCGGACATTTTAAGTTAAACACGATTACTTATGGGATGGCATGTTCAGGATATTTGGCAGTAAAATGTTTGCAACAACTCTCGGAGTGTGAGGATGATAAAGTAGGAAGGGCAATCATGAAGGACTTTTACATGGATGATCTCTTGACAGGGGCAGATACAGTTGAAGAAGCCCGAGAGATTAAGAAAGGGATCAATCAGGTGTTAGCTTCGGGTGGTTTTATCCTGAGAAAATGGAGTTCTAATAAACCAGAAACTCTGTTAACCTGCGATGAGCCAAATGTGGAGCATTATATATCAGGAGATAACACTTCGAAAACACTAGGTATCAGATGGAATCCACACCTAGATACCTTGCACTACGATTGTCCTGAAGATTATGGTGTTTTATTGGACAATAAGGTAACCAAACGCATAATTTTGTCATTGATATCCCAGATATTCGATCCTTTGGGACTGTTGGCTCCTGTTATTATTAAAGCTAAACTTGTACTTCAACTATTATGGAAGGAAAAGGTAGGTTGGGACGAGGAAGTTCCGCAAGGTGTTCTAGTTCCATGGTTAAATTTGAGAGAGGAATTTCAGAAACTAAAGGTGTTTCAAATAGAACGGCAGGTTATATGCACAGGGTCTAGGGATTTTCAGATACATGGTTTCTGCGACGCTTCGCAGAAGGCTTACGGGGCTTGTATTTTTGTGAGATCAGTAGACCAGAAGGGAGATTGTCACGTAAGGTTGTTATGTTCGAAATCACGGGTTGCTCCACTTAAAGTAATATCTCTTCCCAGATTAGAATTATGTGGTGCCCTTTTGTTGGCTAAGTTGGTTAAGGCAGTTTTACAAGCGATCGATATAAATCCGTCTCAAATAAGGTATTGGTCGGATTCGTCCATTGTGCTGTCTTGGTTGTCAAGGGAACCTTCGACTTGGACAACATTCGTGGCAAATAGGGTCGCGGAGATTCAAACCCTCAGCGGAGGCAACCAATGGGGTCATGTACCATCAGAGCAAAATCCGGCGGATTTGGTCTCCAGGGGTACTGACTGTGACAGCTTAAGTGAAAATTTATTATGGTGGGAAGGCCCATTCTGGTTATCTCGCGAAGAGAATTACTTTCCTCAAACTCATATTCCTAGTGTTGATGTCATTCCTGAGCAGAAGATCATAAAACATTCATATATCGTGACGGATCTTAATAAGGTGCTTAGAAGGTTCTCGAATTTCAATAAATTACTTCGAACATTCTCTTATTGTTTAAGATTTATGCAAAATTGCAGGGCTTCTAAAAGAGGGGAACCACCTAGAAGAGGTCCATTAACGGTACAGGAGCTTGATAAAGCATGGACAGTGGTAATCGCATTAGTTCAACGTGAAGTTTTTGGTGCTGAAATTAAGGCCATAGAAGGGGGATGCGGGCTGGATAGACGAAGTAGAATTTTGTCTCTTAATCCGTTTTTGGACAAGGATGGGCTATTAAGGGTAGGAGGTCGGCTAGCCAAGGCTAATCTTAGTTATAATCAGCGGTTTCCGGTAATACTTCCAAATAAACACGACGTCACGCGGTTAATCATTCTATGTGAGCACTACAAGCATTTACATGCAGGTCCGCAGGCGCTTTTAGCAGTAATGCGTCTCAAATACTGGCCCATATTAGGTCGTCAAACAATAAGAAGTGTTTTATCGCGTTGTATTGTATGTTTTAGGGCAAAACCAAAGGATTTTAGGCAATACATGGGGGAGTTACCAAGCAGTCGTATTGTTCCAAGTCGGCCATTCGAAAATTGTGGGGTTGATTACGCAGGGCCATTTTTTGTTAAATCAGGCACAGTTAGAAAACCTGTTATTACCAAGGCGTATTTATGCGTCTTTATATGCTTCGCGACTAAGGCGGTCCACCTAGAATTGGTCGTTGATCTAACGACCCAAGCTTTTCTTAACTGCTTTAAGAGGTTCATCGCACGTAGGGGACTTTCTAGGAATGTGTACTCCGACAATGCGACAAATTTTATAGGGGCTAATAATGAATTTACGGAACTTAGTCGATTTTTACAGGATAAGGGTAACCAGGAGGTTTTCTCACAGTACTTTACAAATTCATTTATAAAATGGCATTTCATTCCACCACGTTCGCCGCACTTTGGGGGTTTGTGGGAGTCTGCGGTGAAATCCGCAAAGTATCATCTAAGGAGGGTTTTGAATGATCAGAAGTTGACGTTTGAAGAGTTGTATACAGTGATAACCCAAGTGGAGGCATGTCTGAATTCCCGGCCAATTACTCCTGTAAGTGAATCTGCGGATGATTTGGAAATTTTAACGCCAGGTCATTTTTTAATGGGTAGCTCACCCTCTGCTCTACCTCAAGAAGATATAAAAGGTCATAATCTAAATCGCTTACAAAGGTATCAGTTATTGACTCAGTTTATCCAAAGTTTTTGGAAACGATGGCAAACGGAGTATTTGAGTAACTTGCAACAGCGATCTAAGTGGCGCATAAGAGCGGACTCTATAAAGATTAATGACATGGTGTTGGTGAAAGAAGATAACACTCCGCCCATGAAATGGCAGTTAGGACGAGTAGTGGAGTTACACACGGGTAGTGACGGGATATGTCGTGTTGTGTCGCTTAAAACCGCGAGTGGTTTAATAAAGAGGCCTACTTCTCGTGTATGTGTTCTACCATTTGAAGGCAGTAATTAATAAGAATTTTAGGAACATTAAGGATTTAGTGTTTAAAATAGATTTTAGGAATTAGGGTTAAGGTTTTTGAAAGACAAGCTTTCAAGGGGGGCGGCATGTTGGGTTTTTGAAAGCCGTACGACGTACGATGCGTACAAGGCCTTAGCGCAGGACCTTGATCGCCGCCGGCGGGGAGCGCGTCGCTGGCAGAAGGCAGAAGTCACGTAGGCCACAGCGCAGCCGAAAAGCTTACAAAAACTTAATATTGCCTGGTAGAGATCTGCACGGGCCGGGTAGCCCGAACGGGCCTCAGGCCAGGCCCGGCCCGAACACGGGCCACGTGCCGGGCCGGTTTCGCACTGTCAATAGGGGTCGGGCCTCGGGCCGGGCCGGTTCCGCACTTTAAATAAACACAACTTTGCTTCTGTACATGTTTTTGAGACACCCTGTATTATAATAGGTGTTTTTAAGCTATGTTTTTGTGAAATTGATAGATTGTCTGGAATCTGGAAAGAACTACTTGGAATAATTGTAATTGAAAGGATTTTTGTAATTTTATTTTGATCATTTTATTTTAATGGTTCGGGCCGGGCCGGACTAGTTTAAGTTTTAACTTTCCACAAACCGGGCCGGGCTTACAAAACCAGTAGGTTTGAATAGAATGCCCGAGAAGAGAAGTATCTCTTCTCGGGCCGGGCCGGGTCGGGCTACAAAAAACCGGCCCGTGCAGGTCTCTATTGCCTGGTGTTTAAGGGGGAGTGCATCGCACTACCATTTTTCTGTTGTCGTGTTATTCAGTAAATTAGAAATAAAGACCATATTGACAAAGACACTCGATTTATTGTCTGTAGCCGTATATAAAAAGTAAACATCATTGAAAAATTCACAGTCCTTTACAAAGATGCAACCGGGGGGGCATTGAAAATGATGAATAAAAACGTAAAAATATGATTAGTGTTAATATGAGTGTATTACATACATATGTTTAAATAACGAACTTAACAAAAAACAACTGATTTAAAGATTCACTGAAAAAGTAGTAGTGTTAACATTAAATAAAACATTATCAATAATAATTATGCAATCGCACCTATCCGTAAAACAAGCAAGCAAAAAAACCTCGAAAAACAAAATAACATACAAAACATCAGGTTAACATGATGACAGATCATGATCAATGACAGATAAAGAATTCTTACGGAAAGTTACACTTTACGATATAATTTTTTAACTGTTAAAGGCAAACCCCATTTAAACACAAAACTTTTTAATACCTACTACTGTATCTAAAAGACTTTTTTTAAATTACTAAATTCTTAGCCACACTTCTGTTTTTCTTGGCTGTTGTACGTCACGTCACAGATCCACATCACGTAACAGGCCCACGTTTGCACCACAAGGCGATGCTGCAGACCACTATCCACTAGGTAGACCGGTCGTAGAAATTTATGTTATACAACTTGTAATCAATCTACAAAAATATTATCAAAAACTTTTTTTCTTTTAAAATGTGTTCAGATTTTGTAAAAAGTATAAGTCAAAATCGCAAAACTTAAATTTGATATGGGTTTCTTAGTTTTTAACTAATATAGTGGCCAATTACCAAAAATTCCTTTTCAATGAAAATTAATGAGTTAAATAAAATAATTTAATAAATTACTAGCTTTTCTCGCGACTACGTTCGCGTTACACCTCGAATCGTTCATGCATTGATTTAAATGATTTTTTACTTCTTTATAGAGGGCTAGTGAGCATAGATGTTTTTTATTTTTCATCTTTTTTTTTATTTATTAAGAGCACTAATACTCTCTTTATAGGTTATTTTTATTCTTTGAAGGATAATTGAGGAAGATATATTTCGTTATGATGTCATTAAATAAACCCTTGTATAAAATTTTATACTGTCTGGTTTATAATGTTATAGTATTGCATTTTAGTACAGCAAACTTTCATTCCCTATTCTACTCCCTAAGGGTATAAATTTCATAAATTCGCTTTACCTTTGTGCCAATTTTTATGTGTATAATCCAGAGGTCACCAAGTTTTATATAAATTTTTACTAACTTTACCCATTTGGTTGATGAATTTCAAAAATTTCTTCTAATTCTTTTTGTAGGATTTCATTCTTCTAGACCAAATAGTAAGGAATTTTCATACAACAAACTGTTCCGAGATAATTTTACTCTCTAAGAGGATGAATTTCCTAAAATCGCTTTGTGTAGCTAATTCACTAATGTCGTTTAAACGAACCTTTGTGCTAATATTTATGTATCTAAAGCTGGCGGCATGAACTCACTCTAAAATATCTAAAAACGTAATATATTATCTAACTGACACACCACTGACAATGACAAATAATTTATTTTTGGAGGTATTGTTTGTAGGTGTTTTTCAGGTATGTTATCGTTTTACACAAAGACGTATTTAGTCGTTTTACACAAAGAAATAGCCATTAAGCACTATAAAAATACCTCATAACAAATCTACACATATATACCTTTCATTTAAAAAAAGAATCATCAAGATTGGTAAAGCGGTTTCGGCGGGATGGATGCAACAAAAAAACCCTTTGAGCTTTTATATATGTATGGATTAATTATTTTTCCAACATATTTTACTTTGCAAATTTTTATAAATATTCAGACTCGCCAATATCGTACTCCAACGTGTCCAGCCTGTTTAGCCAAACGTAGGCCGATTCCTCTTCGGCGGCGTCGTGACCCTGGCCGAAGGAAGAGTCTTGAAGACGCTCATCCGCGCATAGGAATAAGTTGACTGCGTAGCGTATTGCGTATTAATCGATTCTGAAACTTTCTATCTCGTGTATAACATGTTACGCAACTTTATTATTTTAATCTCGATTTTAATGGATAAATGTGTGAAATGCCACCTGAATATCTTCCGCCATGACATGTTTTTACTTTTTGTTATGGTAAAGTGATTTGTATAAACTTTATTCAATAACGTATATTTTCCTCCATTTGTGATTTTTTAATTTTAAGCGAAAATTAAGTATAACATTTTAGGAAAAAGAAACACTGTAATATTTAAAAGAATAAGAAGAAATTAGTCTTATTTTGAAAGGAAAATATAGAAAAAAACTCTTTCTATAGAAAAAGTCTTTATACTAACCAGAATCCGGTGACATATACGCGGTCTCACCGGAAACATTATTACTTCGCATAACTTTAAGAATATCTACTTTTAATAATGAACACTTCAGAAATACACCAGTAAAAACATTTATTATTTGAGATTAAAACTCGAATTAAATTATAAATATTAGTTACCTATGTTGTTATAGCTTTTATAGGCCTGTTTAACGACTTAATAAGTTACCTAGCGAAAGAAACTGTGCGCGTACCTACCACTATTGTTACAGGTTAATTCGTTAAAGAAATATGTTACACAAGTTAAAAACGCTAAAATTTTAATGGTATTACTTGTGCATTATTGGCCTTATAATGTAATTTGTTGGAATGATATCTTCTTTAAATATAATTAGACTTTTTAACGACTTTTAAGTTACCTAGGAAAAAATCTGTGCACGTACCTACCAGTATTGTTACAGGTTAATTCGTAAAATAAATGTGTTACATATTATTCGTGGTATTAGTGGTATTATATTGAATCAGCTTGGCATTAGTGGGGCATTATATGAGAAATTTTGGTATTTAATTTGTATTTTTGGCATTACTTTGGCATTAGTATACAGACATTTGTCAGCGGTTTACTCCTTGTAGATAATCAAAAAGTTTTTTGATAAAATTTGCTTTTTATGTCAGATCATTTCTATGAAAAATTACATTAGATTTTTATTAAAGACGCTGGGTAATTAAAACATTGACTAATAAAGCTTGTCCACTTTAAATAAGGGGTCGCGAAATATCCTCCTTGGAGTGTTTGGGTTAAGGGGTGTATAATAAATTAATCGTTGTTTTATAATAAAAACCATAAAACATTTATTTGTGAGTAAAATAATGCAATGGTTGGATATCTCTCCTTTATAATTAGGTGACTGAAAATACACTAAAATAATTAGAAAAAAAATCTTGTACTTATTTAGTAATTACGTCAATATTAATTAATTGACTTTCTAGTCTATTTTATTTTATGTACAAATATATTATAACTTTAAGCATTAAGTAATAAAACACTTTGTGCCCTATTATATCGTAAGAGGTTACGAAATATACTCCTGGTTACACCCCTTACAGAAAACAGTGTAAGGGGTGTAAATAAATTGTATAATCACTGTTTTTTATAATAAAAACTATAAAACATTTCTTATTTGTGAGATTATAAAAACAAAACAATGCATTTGTTAAAATAAGTACATTCAATACATATGTATGTGTTATAACATAATATAGCCATTACTATTATACTATTATTATTAAAATAAATATGTGTGTAACATATTTCTTTAACGAATTAACCTGTAACAGACATTTATATGCCCAGTATATTTTTGTTTAACAAACCCAATCAGGAAAAATCCAAAACCTACCGTTATAGGAGGTATAAGATGATTAAACTTATATAATGACAACTACTTATCGGATAACAAATTAATTACTACTGTCAGCTAGTTCAGCTACTGTCTAGGTAGAATATACCTAGAGTACCTACACCTACCTATGATGTAGGTAGATTAAAGCTTATTTTGACGTTACCTCTCACTTCGGTGTCACAAGCTGAATTTTTCAGGGATGGAAGTACAGTACATGATATGGGGACCCTTATTCCGAAAGTAGTACAAAATTAGACCGGGTAAAAGGGCACTATCATCAAAAATCGATATATTAATACCACCGTATAGAGAAAACAAATACTTATTTTTTGATCCAGTACACAATAAAGTCTTCGTAGGGAGTAATTTTTTAAAATTATTTACAAAAAAACATTTCCATTAGCGCGTATGACCAAAAAAAACTTTAAACGTGAATAATAATTTCAATCATGCGAAAATATGGTTTAAAAATAGATTTTTTTTAATATAACTTTCATTTAACGAAAAACGAAGGCCTAAATGAAAAAAAGAAACAATTTAAAAGTTTCGCTTATGTCTTGACAAGGTATCAAAGCAAACCCCATATTTTTTGCTTTTAAACTAATAAAGATATATCAATAAACAATTAGCGATGTAATGGTTTTTGCGCGCGCTGGCCGACTGCCGCCGCTACGCCGAGATTTCCTATGCCCTTGTATATATGACGTCATGGTGTGGCAAATGTAGCATTTTAATTCGATTTGGGCTCCCTTATATATGATAACAGGAACATTTTCAATGTTAAAAGACGCTCCAATAAGAATGTTGATTATTTGCCTCAATATTCACATAACTTTTCAGGAGTTTTTTTTACTACACATTATACGTACCAAGAAAAAATCATAATTATCAAATCCAAATAGATTGAAAACATCACTGTCGTTTTTAATAGAACAAACACACTCAAAATAAATAATAGGCAAGCTTTTTTATATTTAATCCCCAATTTACATTTCGTGATTGATCTGAATATTTTGATTTGTGCCAACAAAAAAATAGCGAAATTTTGCCAGGACACTACAGATAACATCGAGGGAGATTACCTATCTGGTGACGTTGGAGGAAAAACTTGTCTTTATCTATTGATTTCAAGACATGACAAGATATTTATATAAGAAGGTGGACTTTAGGAGGCCGCACATATTATTATTTTGTTGCTAGTATTCGGATTTTTTTTCTGCGTTTGAAATGGCGTTAAAGCTTCTCGTTGTGTTATCTTTCCTTAACGTTTTCGTTCATAAAGAAGTTGAAGGCCATGGATACATGATTAGTCCACCGAATAGAGCATCCCTTTGGAGAATCGACTGGACACAACCAGCTAATTACAACGATAATGAATATTTTTGTGGGGGCACCTACGTAAGTCCTATTTGTGTTGTTCAAAATTGTGTACTCGCATTCTTCTATTCAATATGTATCCAACACTTGTTCTTGAGAGAAAAAAAGGATATAATATAATACAGTACGTCTGTCCGTTCTGTGGCTACGGGGTATCCGTGAGAGGGGAAACGATATTCTCTCGATGTTCTTCGTAAAAAATTAGACGACGCGTCCCATCAATAAAAATTCGACAAATTTGCAAGTAGCCAATAAGATGAGTGGGCGGAGTGATTTGCGGTGACGTACTCGTCAAGTCGACGTATAAAATATATTGCTGTTTATTTAAATGTTTTTTGTCCGCATTCCTTTCATAGACACAGATCTAGCAGTCGAACTGTAATAGCTCCCGTATATAGCGGTTAACGCCATGGGAGTAGCGAGGTCCAGCTTGCCATGCTAGAACCGTTCGGTATACAAGGAAGGTAATGTGGCTAGCACTACGCTTCAACCGCCTCTTATTACCTCAGGATTGTGAATCCCAAGTACTCATTTAAGGTTGAGTCGACCTAGAAACCAAGCCAAATCTAACCCTTATTGTATAATGGATACATACCTAAAATATTTTTATTTTTAATAAAAATAGTCGGGTGATAAAATGCCGGCTGAAGGATTCGAACCCACAACCTATGGTTTGGTAGACGAGAGCTGTACCTCTACACCACCGGACACCTTTTGTCAAAAAAAGGATATTATTTGAAGATGTTAGAAGCATTCACCTCAAATGTTTCTATAGCTCACTTTGTAGCATTAGTAGTTAATAAATTAGACGTGTGACGTTCGAGTGAGAGTTATTGCTTAAAACTAAATAAAAAAAAGTCAAAATGATATCATTCAAAACAATATAATTATCAATCAGAAATCCACGAATACGACAGAAATAGCAGGTTCCGAATTTGTAGATGGAGGAGGATGCGATGAAGAAATCAAAAGAAGACTGTGTATAGGACGACATTCCATGACCAAACTTAGTAAAGCACGTAAAGAATCAGCAGATTTCCCTTTGAAACAAGTTAAAACTACTAAGGGCCCTAATTTTCTCAAGTTGAAATGTGGTGTTATGGACGGATGTTGAGAATACCATGCACAGCTCACCGTACAAACAATTTGAACAACGTAATATCGAATCAAGACCGTCCACACCTATAAACCACGCTTATATGAGATGCTTAGGTCACATATCCAGGAAAACCAATGGTGTAGAAAAACTAATTGACGAATGACAAGTAAACGGAAAATATCCTAGAGGAAGATCTCCAAACCGTTGGGTGAACCAAATGAAGACAATGCATTCGCATTGTTGCAAAGAAGTCACAAGACAGAACGACATGTAGAGACACAGTAAAAGGGGTATTTAGCAGCATAATATCACCATACCTACTCTCACAGAGTAGTATGAAGGAGGAGGCTACGTATATCTTTCGTGTGAAGAACATGTTCACAAGAAAATATTTTGTTTCAAAGGACAAATACCTACATTAACGGGAGACAAAAGTTGATCAAACGATATTCTAGTTGATCATTAATGTAGTTAAATGATAGCTTAAATCGTCTATATCTATAATCTACATTAGTAGGTAACTTCATACCATATCATTCAAATTTAATTCTTTAAATATTTTAAGAACTTATAATTACTCAAGTTGATTTTAATTTAACATTTTGTAAGTAGATACATAGGGCGATGCCAACGAAAACAGACTAACTTTAAAAAGATAATAATAATACCGTTTGATCGAAAGAAAATAGCGTCAATTTGATTTGGAAATAATAATGACATTCCCCATATAATTTTACATATAAAATCAGAGCGATCTTTTCCAGCTAACTCGTTATTTTTGATAGCATAATTTTTGAATTTCCATAAAAAAAACAATAATTGATTATCTGAAACAATATTCTCACAACCATGCAGGTTTTTTTATATGCATTATACCAGCAAAAATCAGAATTATTAAATCTAAAAAATATATTTAAAAATATCACTGTCATTTTTAACAAAATCTACTGCAAACAAATAAGAGACAAGTTTTTTTTCGATATTTAATCCCCAATTTAAATTTAGTGATTGATCTACATACTTTGATTTGCGCCAACAAAAAAAAATGACAAGACACTACAGATAATTGGCTGATTACCTAGGAGAAATTATCTTTATCTCTTTATATCAAGACATGACATATTTATATAAAGAGTGGACCTCAGCAATCCGCGCATATTAATATTTTATTGTTAGTGTTAAGCACAGTAGCACAAATATGTTTATAACAGTTATATAAACTGCTACATAATTTGTAATATAACCTTAAATTTTTATAACAGTGTTGTAAACCTTATATTTATGATCCTTATAAACACGGAAAAGGCCCAGGTTTATAAAATAAAATTATTTTTTTAAAGTTTTATAAGAGTCGCAAACAACACCTTTAAAACAGTATTACGTATTTTATAATATGTTTATAAATCTGCTTTATAAATGTTTTATAAGCGCTTTATAAATTAAGCGGTAGTTTATCTACAAACTATGCCTCCGACAGTTACTAGATATTAATAAAACACTAATATAACTGTTTTATAGCAGATTTATAAATACTTTAAAAACAACATATTTGTCTCTGTTAAAATATTTTTGTAGCATGCATCTGCATTTTTGTTTTTTAGTTATCAAGAATAAAATTATAATATCGTGTATTTATAGTGACCATGATAAAACTGATTTTAAAATGGCAAAGTACACATATATACTATTTAAATGACAGATATGGCTAATTTAAAGAAAGATGTAAATTGTATAAAAAGTGTATCGCCTAAAACGCTCCAGGAGTCAAATTTTCCTGCGGAGCAAATTTTACTGATATTATATATCCATATTTGTGGAAATATTTTAAGGCGCTTTCATTTTAATAAGATTTTGCAGTTATAATAAATATTTAATTATTAGGAAATAACTGCAGAATTACCTGTAAACTGGAAAATCGACACTGTCCAATGTCCGATATTATTGGAAACTAATTCGTTTCTTATAAATACGTTTATTTTGAATTAAATTTCGATTATTTTGTTTTGCAAACTCCGAATCGATAAAATGGCCGACATATAGTCGTCCAAATTCAACATAAAATCATGGGGTCGACTATCAAAACATTTTTGTCGCTCAGGGAGCAGTTATAAAATTAACTTGTTTTACAGTGATGCTATACGGAACATATTTGTTTTATTACTTAAAATACTGTCGGCAAAATACAATTAAATTAGTCTATATATTCCGGTAGTGTCACATTTACAACAATAAAATTATAGACGTGTGTTTTTAAATTCGCTAGTAGGTTCATCAATACTTATAACACAGGAAGACATTTTAAAAAATTAAAATTTTTACAGCATCACTTTCTTCTGGTATTATAACAGTTTCTTTTTAATTTCTCTCTGGTGTCAACGTTTCCACAAGAATTTAAAATCCTTTGGTAGTTATCTTTAACTTTCTTTTTAAAATGTCTACTTTTAAGCTTCTTCCGGTTCAAATCATAATTTTAAAATATATTTCAAACTTTGGCCAAAACCAAAGTTTGAGGTTAGTACTATAATATGTTTATAAGGTTTCCTAAATAACATTTTTGTATTTGGGAAAACACTTTCATTGTTTAATCGCTTTATAAGAATTTTAATTCGTTTCTTTAACAGCAATTATAAAATTGTTTTCTTAGAGTAGCGGTCGCGACTAAATTATTGCGAAAACCAAATTGTTTTATAAATCAGCTATGTCGAAACAACAGCTATAAAACATGTCGATAATGTTTTAATAAACTAAAATGCATATTTTTATAGCTGTTTTGTAAATATTTTATAATTGTTTTAAATTATATTATAAATCAATTATAAAATATATCTAGCTCAAGCATAAATAGTTGTATAAGATTTGTTATATAAACGTTCCTGAGCATATTAACGAATATATTTATAAAAATGTTTTATAAATTGGTCACCAAAACACCTATATAACTAAATAATAAAACACATTTGTCTATATGATAAATTTGTATTCTTTGCGGTTATTATATAACAATTCAGTGTATGAGATCGCTTTAATAAATCGTATATAAAACACTTTATTCTCATTATAATTTATTGTGCTACTTGGGTAGAGATCGCTTGACCACCTTGTGAGGTACATTGTCAAACGCCCCCGCAATGTCTAAGAAGGCACAAATTGATGGTGCTTCGCTATACAGGCTTGCCTGTATTAGCTAGGTTAATTTTTACAGAGCAGTTTCTATGGATCTGCCTGCTCTATATACCTGCTGACTATTTTACAATGGTTTAACCTTTAGATGATTTTCTCCAATATGGTTGTCCCCTACTTCCTCCATCGTTTTTAGTATGAACGATGTAAGACTAATAGGCGCACATGATTTAGGGTTAGCCCAGTCAGTTTTTTCTATTTTCAGTATGAATAGTACTTTTACTTTTCTCCAGATGGTTGGTATATATTTACCTTCGCTAAGCTGCTTCTTGTAATGTTTAATAAAAGTAGCTATTTCCTTTTTTAATAAAAGATGAGTAGCTATTTCCTGGTCTTCCTTTAGAATGGTAGGAAAAATCCCATTTACTCCTGCTGCATAAGGCCGAAAGATATGAATAGCCCATTTCAGTTTTTGTTCTGTTATTACTAGCTTAGCCACCTGCCAGTCTTGAGCTACTTGCGTATTAATAGGACATTAGCTCTCTCTTCATCTCCTTCCGTGTAGCTTCCGTCAGGTTTCTTAAGTGCCATGTTGAGGATAGCTTTGGTGATTTGGGCCTTGGTCATAGCTTTGTGTAGTATATCATTTGCATAAATAGTAGAAGTTATGTTTTCGCAGAAAGATCTAAAGCAAAGTCTAAAGTCAGACCGCTATTCCCTTCTTATTTATCTCCTTATTGCAGTTAATTTCTCGGTGTGGAGCTACCATTCTCCCAGCACTTGTTCCACTAGGGCGAGTTTACTAAAAAAAACAAACTACCTAGACATATACTGCTTACTCTTTGACAGTTTTCTATCTTTAATATAATCAAAAAATATGAAAAAAATTAATGGTTGCATAATATCACCAAAAATGAATTCTTTTTATAGGTCCAATATTATCTAAATGAGGGTAAGTGCGGACCTTGTGGTGACAATTGGAAAGACCCTCCACCAAGAAGCAACGAAAACACAGGAACTTACGGAAATGGCATCGTCGTATCGAATTACACGGCTGGCTCAATTATCGAAGTTACTTCTCTACTCACAGCTAATCACATGGGAAGTCTTTACTTCTAGTAAGTTCTAACTAATAGATAATTTTAAAATAATATGTAAAGTCCTTATTTATTTTTATAGTCTCTGTGAACTGACGAATCCTAATCTCCCAGAAACGGAAGACTGTTTCCAACTGCTCAGACTTGCCGATGGAACAGAAGCCCACATAGTAAAAAGCACTGACTACACAGTCGTCAGCAAAGTAAAGTTACCCGACGACCTCTCGTGTGACCGTTGCGTCTTGAGATGGCATTACAGAACAGGTTGTGCCTCTATTTCGTGACATTAAAACAACATATATTTCGCAATATTTTTTTTTTCAGGAAACAGTTGGGGAAAATGTGAGGATGGTACCCAAAATATTGGATGCGGCGACCAAGAAATTTTCCGTTCTTGTGCCGATGTAAGAATTCTACCAGCACAGCAAAATGAAGATGACGAACCTGAAGTACCTGAAGTCCCTGTAGTCCCTGTAGACCCTGTAGTTCCAGACAGCGATAAAGTTCCAGATACTCCTGAAAAACCTGAAGATCCAGAATTCAGTGATGAACATCCTGCCGATTGTGAGTTTCCAGCAAATCATCACAGAAAACCTAGAGACCTAAAAGCCAAGTTGTTAAAATTATAAATAACTATAATTTAAGTTGGTTCCTAACAACAGAACCAGTCATCTAGTAGTGATGAATTTGAACAATAACAACTGTTTCATGTATTAAACATCTGAAAAAAAAATATTTTATTTATTCTTTACATTTATTTAGAATTCATTTACTTGTTTATCCCTATACTCATAAGAATCGAATGATGAAAACTAAATTTCATTCTCTTATTGGACATCCGATTGTTAAAACTCGTGATGTTTCAGAATTTAGTGCATGCCCTCTTAGTTGACCCAAAACAGTTTGATAGACCTATTGCTTATGCATGTAGATTTTTAAAGGCTGACGAACTTTGTACTTCTTGTAGTTTTTGGTATTAATCATTAAGCAAAGCTAACTCAATGCTAACTAGTTAACTATGCTAACTATGAGAGTTATTATAGTAAGGTTTTTATTTTTATTTCTATATCATGGTTCTAAAAATAAAAATGTATAAATCAATGTAAGTAGAACGCTTTCTTAAGGTGCGTATTCATTATCCGCACGAACGAACGAATGTACGCTAGTGGTATGGACGGGGACTGCACGATAGGACCGCACGAGAAGACCGGAGGCATTTGTTGGCGAACGCCGTTGATGTACCGACTCGAAACGGATGGTCGAGCGAACGAACGAACGAACGGCCGCATGCGTTCGGTCCCCGTCTAAATATACCGCACTTTCATTCGTTCGTTCGTTCGTTCGTTCGTTCGGATAATGAATACGCACCTTTATGAGTTTGAAAGATCAACAGCCGACAAAAACATTTAGTTAAAAACGCCACCACTAGCCAACATAGCGGAATTTTAATTCATTATTTTATAAAATTGACGTGGAGTCGGACACAAATCATCTACATTATATCATATTGGTGTCTAAAAAGAGAGAAACTCCTGTTTCGAAAATGAATCGACACTAAATAGAAACCTTCTTTCCAAAATGTAGAAATTTCGAACTAGTAACCTGTCAACAACGCCATCAATCAAAACTTCTGGTCAAAATAATTAAAACATTTTTATTTACTTATTATAAATAACACCAATTATAATTAAAACATAAAAACATGTATTCCATTGTGGAAAAAAAAGAAAAAAACGTTTGCTGGTAACATTTTTCTTCGGTCTCCTGTTGGCTATGGGTAGTGTCTGTTATTACATTTATTCCTAAAACAAATCATCTCTATAATGCGTATAGTAAATTATTACAAAAAACCCATAACAAAAATATATTGTTATATATTTTTGTACTTGTTATATATTTCGTACTTGTACTCACCCTATGTCCTTTCTTGTGCTTTTTTAATTATAGTACTACAAGAATGGTTAAATGCAAAAACTGCAGGACAAAATCAAAACAATAAAGTAAAGTTATGTTCTCAAAGATGACAGGATATCAAATAAATTATGGAAACTTTTCCGACACAAAACGGGTACGAAATCTGTAAATGTGAGCCACATCTGTTTCTTAAAAGTTTCGAAAAATTTGTGACACTGAGATCTTTGTTGTTATAGATTATGTAGCGAAACCATATTTCGGTAAAATGTTTCGATGCAAAAACCGATTTATGCTAAGAAACATATGTATCAAAAATGTGACGAAACTGTTTGACAATGTTCACAACAGAAATTTCAATTTTGTGTCTAGAAATGCTACTTGGGTTTCTCCAGAATGTTATGCTTCCGAGACAGTTAATTACCAAAACATATTAATTACTAACTGGTCTGAAAGTATTTATTGTCAAGAATATAGATTATATTCAAATTTGCATACAATATATTCAAAATATTTCGATAAAATGTGATAAATATTATGAAAAAAATAAAAACAAAATTCTTTTAAGGAACGTAAATTTTAAAATTATTCATTTTAATAATGTAAAAATAATATAATATAAAAATAAACCAAATGTCTCTGATAGGCAATAAGTTTTTTGTTATTTTATACCTATATTTCAATAAATACATTAGCGCAGAAGAACTATTTTATAATCTATAGAAAAATTATTTGAAATACTTAGATGAGAGAAAACTACTATTTTTGCAGGTGCCGTATATTAACTTCTCAAACAAATCAAGTTCATATCAATTTTTAATTCGAATTTTAAAATGTCATAACCTCTACGATTTGTGCCATTTGTTTCTTAAAATAAAAAAATATTCTGAATTTTTAAAGATCAATTATTGGTTCTCAAGTTTTTAGCTGCACACATAAAATTTGCATGGCAATAAACTCAGAGTTAGAAAAAAATAAATATTTTTTTTTCAACTAGTTATTTTTCTATTCTTCGTGTTTATTATTTTATCTGATCTTCATTTTCTCTAATACTAGCATAAGTAAAGTATTTCAAAAAGTATAGTCCGTCTAGAAAGTATTAGGAAAAAAGAAAGCAAAATTACAATTATCTACATATGTATATAAAATGCTAATGTTTATCTGTGTCGTCTCTACTGAAGTAACGACTTGCTCTAGAAAGTTGCTTTTTTACTAAAAGATATATCATTCGCTCTTCTAAAAACTGTCGTCGCCAGATTTTCTGTTTTTCATTTAATTAAAAAAAAAATAAAAAGTATTTCTTTCCTGATGTCGTGGCGGATGCGCCAGGCTTCAACTAGTCGATATATATTTTTAGAACTTGAGTTAAAAAAATTATAACCAATTATTAATTTTATTTACTTATAGAACCTCCATTTAACTCCAAACACTTAAATAAATGTCCAGGTACACCAGAAACTAGGTCCACACCATAATGTTCAGTAACGGTAGTCCAGGCCTGCAAAACTGAGCGAATAAAACCTTGTTTATTTCCTGGAGCTGTTCGTTCCACTTCAATCTTCATTAGTCCCCATATTTTTTCAATGGGACTAAGGTCTGGTGAAGCTGCTGGCTATGGAATTGTTGCCAAATGGTGTTCTTGCATCCAAGCTTGAGTATAGGCAGACGTATGGCATCTTGCATTATCCTGCTGAAAACGCCACCCCTCTGGATATAAGACATGAGCCGTTTTAAGAAGAAAACCATTTAAAATATCACAATATTATGCACTATTAACAGTTCAATCAACTATACACAGAGGTGTAGCACCGCTGAGATATTGCTCCCCACACCATTATTTTAGTGGGATATTTTGAAACTTGGACTTGAACGAACATTTTCTTTTGATAAGATTTTTAGGTGGTTTCCACCAAGCCGGAAACGACTTTCGTCAGAAATAAAGACATTATTAAAATTATCTTCTTGAAAATGTTAACAAAAATCCATTCTTCGCTGCCTTTGCAGAGGTGTTACTGCAGGGATTTTTTTTGGCTTCCTTGATATGTAGCCTTGTCTTTTCAGTGACATGCCGACCGGTTTGTGGACACACTTTTAATTTTCGCTGACTTCCAAATCTGTTGGCCAATTTGCGAAACCCTAGGTGCGGATTCTGTCGCCCTAATGCCACTAAAGCGTTTATATTGTTTTCGAGAATCTTACGCGGTCTTCCTGAAACTGGTCCATGCTTCATATCTGTGCCATTTTTTATCCTCTTTATTGTCTCATATACTGCACTTTTTCCGAGTTCTGTCAATTGTACTAATTTTTTAACGTTTCGAACACCTTTTCTATACAAATATTCCACCATTTCTCTTTTTTTTTACTTGCGACATTATTTCTCAAATCTTAAGCCGGTTTACAATCAACAATATTTGACAGATAGTGTTGCCATACGATTTTGGTGATAGCCTACTATCGGCACAACCTACGTGATGGATTACTGTTGTCGTAGAGTGTAACAAAAAAATACATTAAAATTAAGAAAAATATAAAATTCCGGATACTTTCTAGACGGACTATAGCACAGATGTCGTCTTTTGGTTGTTAAAAAATGCACCAAATCCTATCTCTAACTTTAATCATTTTTTCAAATCATTTTTTCTCATTTTTTTTCAAATGGAACGACGGTTGTTCATTAATATATTTGGAAGAAGCATTCTTTCACGAATAACTTGGTTGTTGTTATGTGTATTCTCGTGGCACTCTAGATTAAAATTTAAAATACTATTTTATTATATATATTATATTTAAATTTCATGTATGATATATAATATGTCACACTATTCAGAATATTATTTCATATAAAGTAAAAAAAAATCGGCGGATTGAGGGTACCATTTAAAAATCAAAAATTGTAGTCATTTCTGGAAAACAGTAGTGACCGAAACTTGGTATATCAGAATTTTGGTATGTCAGTATATGACACAAATTAGGATTGATTAACGTACTCAATTGTGTTCAATCGCTTTCTGTTTCACCGGAAATGACTACAACTTCTGATTTTTAAATGACACCCTCGGTATTTTATTGCTTTATTCGATAGATATTATTATTCGATATATTATTCGCAAAAAATTTCTTTTCCAAATATGCTAATAAGCTACCCTCATCCCATTTGAAAAAATTGAGATATGATTAAAAATATGATTTGGACATCTTTTAACCGGCTAAAAAATAAAATACTGAAAAATTAAAAAAGTTGTAGGGGTGAGCCGCTTAAAATAACGGTTTCTCTAACAATAAACAGCTTTTTGAAATAAATATGATAGATACCTTTTAAATAAGATGGATTTCTAATCTTTAATTACTTTAAATATTTACAACAATTATTTATGATTTCTATAAATAATAAAAATAAAAATTAATTTCGAATATCCCTAAAAATTTATCACTATTAGTCATCAAACTTCCGGTATAATCCGGTATAAAACTCAATTTTAAATCGTTTTTTTCACAATACCTTCGACAGCTAAACTAATGTGTTATTACAAGCATCTGTTGCAAATTGTTTCAAAATAAATATGAATTCCATTTTTCTAGCGAAAAAAATTATGATGATATCTGGAACTTTGCCAGAGAAATATATAGAGTTTTCGTCAAAAAGGATTTATATTTTCTTCAAATATTTTTACTTGGTATCTGTGGCATGCGTCGGTGCATCTTTAGTTATTGAAAATCTGAGAATATCCACATATCCTTATCCTTTGGAGAGAAAAATGCAAGCCCTTGCGATTACTATTACAGGATTCACGATGGTCGCTAAAGTACTGATATTCACAAAAAATAAATTACCAGAAATGTTCGAAGAGGTTTTCAGTACAGAAGACGACATGACACTAAATAAGGACAAAGAAATGCAAAGAATGTACCGACAATTTCAGAGATATAATATGTTAACCAATATTTCCTTCATGGCAGTGACAAATTGCGCTGTAAGCTTTCTGATGATTGCTCCGCTTAAAAATCTATTCAAAACAGGATTAAAAAATTTCGATTACCAAAATAACCCTTTGTTTATTGAATTATATTTTCCCGATATAATCCGTAAAAAGCATGTTTACATTATTTACTTAACCAATATTTTCGTTTCACTGGTTGGTTTTCTTGGCAATGCAACTTGCCAAATCATTCTATATACCCTTATAAACTTTGCTTCGTTTAGATTTAAGTTAACAGGATATCATTTGAGGACATTTAGGAGTTTAAGTTCAGAAGACAATTCGTTTTTAAGATTAAGATCTCTGATTATAGAACACCAAAAAACATTAAGGTAAGAATTTCACATCATGTAACTTCTTTTAAAATAAAGTTTCTTATATTTTAGATTTGTAGAAAATTTAAATGAAGCCATCAAGTACGCTGTTCTATTTGAATTTGTTATGGGTTCGCTTAGTCTGGCATCTGTAACATTTCAACTAATAACGGTGAATTATTATTAATATATAGTCCGTCTAGAAAATATCCGGAATTTTATATTTTTCCTAATTTTAATATATTTTTTTTTGTTGTGCCGATAGTAGGCTATGACCAAAGTCGCATGGCAACACCATCTGTCAAATATTGTTGATTATAAACCGGCTTAAGATTTGAGAAATTATGTCGCAAGTAAAAAAAAAGAGAAATGGAATATTTGTATCGAAAAGGTATTCGACCCGTTAAAAAAAATAGTGCAATTGACTGAACTCGGTAAAAGCTCAGTATATGAGTCAATAAAGACGATAAAAAAATGGCACAGATATGAAGCATGGACCAGTTTCATGAAGACCGCGTATGATTCGCGAAAACAATTTAAACGCTTTAGTGGCATTAGGTTAGGACGACAGAATACGCGCCTATATGGTTTCGCAAATTGGCTAACAGATTTGGAAGTCAGCGAAAATTAAAAGTATGTCCAGAAACCGTCCGCATGTCACTGAAAAGACAAGGCTACATATCAAGGAAGCCAAAAAAAAATCCCTGCAATAACACCTCTACAAAGACAGCGAAGAATGGATTTTTGTCAACGTTTTCAAGAAGATAATTTTAATAATGTCTTTATTTCTGACGAAAGTTGTTTCCAGCTTGGTGGAAACCACCTAAAAATCCTATCAAAAGAAAATGTTACCGTTCAAGTTTCAAAATTTCCCACTAAAATAATGGTTTGGGGAGCAATATCTTAGCGTGGTGCTACACCTCTGCGTATAGTTGATGGAACTGTTAATAGTGCAAAATATTGTGATATTTTAAATGGGTTTCTTCTTGAAACGGATCATGTTTTATATCCAGAGGGGTGGCGTTTTCAGCAGGATAATGCAAGATGCCATACGTCTGCCTATACTCAAGCTTGGATGCAAGAACACCCTTTGGCAACAATTCCATAGCCAGCAGCTTCACCAGACCTTAGTCCCATTGAAAAAATATGGGGACTAATGAAGATTGAAGTGGAACGAGCAGCTCCACGAAATAAACAAGATTTGATTCGCTCACTTTTACAGGCCTGGACTACCGCCACATAATTATGGTGTGGACCTAGGTTCGGGTGTACCTGGACGTTTAGTTAAGTGTTTGGAGTTAAATGGAGGTTGTCTAAGTAAATAAAATTAATAATTTGTTATAATTGTTTTAACTCAAATCCTAAAAATATATATCGATAATTGTAATTTTGCTTTCTTTTTTCCGGATACTTTCTAGACGGACTATATTATACAGTATGTCCCCGGATAGTCTTTACAAGGGGAAAAACTTTTTATTATTGATATTTTGAGAAAAATGCATTCTTCATAAAAATTCTTGCTTGTTCTAAAATGGCTAATCCCATTTATACTTCTCCAAATTTTCACACCGTTTTAGAAAAAAAAATAAGAAAAACTTGATAATATGGTTGAATTTTTTCTCCTAAAAGAGTCCTAAAAATCTAACGCGTTTCTAAGGTTATATCATTTCGATTTCATTCTTCGATAGATGGTTATTATTAAATTTGATTAACGTCATGTAGAATGTAGAATGTAGAATGAGTGAGAGGGGGGTTAATCAATGCGACCACAGTATATAACCCATCATACTCTATTGTAGGGGAGACAGGGTATTTCCCATCCTCCTCTGACAACAGATGTTCTTCCTCCGAGGATACACACCCTTCCACGGTTGGAGTTTGGCCCTCCGTGTCCTTCACAGTCGAGAACCTTTCCTCCGGCTGAGGAACCCGTGAGGTGGAGGCTGGAGGATCTGTCTCCATTTTCTCCCCCTCTTTAACTTGGTCTCTCCTAAGACCTGATACCGTTGTTGCCCCGTATCTATAATAGAGAGGATATGCCCCTCTTCCTCTATTGCCTCCTTGGATTTGAGGTCAATTCCTATTGTGAGAACCTGACCATGACCCTCCTCCCTCGAGTTGATGACTCGCCAACTCGATGTCCTTACATCGAAGCTGACCCTGGATAAGGCTCAGCAGGTAGGTGGTGTTTTTCCCCTTGTCATATTCTTTGCTGTATTCAACCCTGGTCATATTCTTTGCTGTTGTCAAAGTATCATATTTTCCGATAATTATCATCACCCTTACCGTAACATTGAACTAAATAAATTTTGTACTTCTTTAAAATGTTATATTTTTAACATTTTATATTTTCATGTTTTTTTAAATTTTCTCTAAAACGGTATTGAAATTTGGAAAAATATAAACGGGATTAACCATTTTAGAACAAGCAAAAATTGGTATGAAGAATGCATTTTTCTCAAAAAGTTAATAATAAAATGTGTTACCTATCTCTTGTAAAGACAATCTGGGGACATACTGTAGACATGGCACATAGGAATAAGTAGCGGGAGTAGACTTTTAGCAACTTTCTTATTTTATAAGAATGCCCCAATTTTTTATTACACAGTATCTATAATCCTGGATTGTCTTTACAAGAGGAAAAACTTTTTTATTATTGACATTTTGAGAATAATTCATTCATAAAATTCATAAAAAATTTTGCTTCTCCTAAAATGGTTAATCCCGTTTATACTTTTCCAAATTTCCACACCGTTTTAGAGAAAATTAAGAAAAACATGAAGATATGGTTGAATTTTTTCCTAAAAATCAAAAGGCGTTTCTCTGGTAATATCAATTCGATTTCATTCTTTGATAGATGGTTGTTTGATTAATGTCATATTCTTTGCTTTTGGTAAAGTATGATATTTTCCGATTAACTATTATCACCCTTTCAGTAGCATTAAACTAAATAAATTTAGTTCTTTAACATGTTAGAACACCAAAAAACATACAGAAACGCGTTTTAATTTTTAGACTTAGAAAATCATATTTTCATGTTTTGAAAAATGCATTTTTCTCAAACTGTCAATAATAAAAAAGCTTTTCCTCTTGTAAGGACAATCCGGGGACACACTATAGATTTAAATCGTCTATTAACTTTGATGATCTCTTCGAGATCTCTTCTTTGTCATTCCCCAGGCGCCTTTGACGCCTTTTTTTTGATCTGTGGTATTAGCTGTACAATATATTGCTTTACACAGCTGTTGGCTGTATTTATAGCCATATTTAACTTTATTGGAAAATTAATCTACACATTTTTGAAGGTTTCAGAGTACACCAAGTTGATATTTGCAGGCATTTTGTTTTGCTTCCAAATCATTCAAATTTTTATTTTTGCAATTACTGCGAACGAGATACAAGTGCAGGTAAAAAAAATAAAGAAAACTTCTTTACAGCACGCTACAATTACAGTTTTTAGAGTGTTGCTGTGGCTACTAATGCTTATATGAGTCCTTGGTACAACGAAAATAAAAAAATACGTCAGATGATAGCGATGATTATATTGAGAGCTCAGAAACCTGCTGTAATCACTATAGGACCATTTAAACCAATGACACCCGAAACTGCTATTATGGTAAAATAAACTGAAAAGCAAATTATATTGATAAGCTACTAATATATACAGGGTGTTCCTGAATGGCATGCTAATATTTAGGGGGTGGTTCTTGGACCTATTCTAACAAAAAAACTTCATACTATGGGCTGGCAAAGGTTAGTCTTGGGTCGAGATTTCCGTATGTAAGAATAGTATAATGTGTTTATAATGTACTGAACAAAGAGAGAACAGGAAACACGTTGCCAAACGTATGAAATGAACCGAGAAACTGTGCGCATTGCTAAGAGACGTGGAAGGGGATATAGCAGATTTGTCGCAGTCGATCGATCAACCGAGAGTCAACCCCATTAGTACCTAGTACCTATGTCAGTACTTAGAGTTCTAGGGAAAGGTGTACATCACGTGTTCAGCTTCACGATTTTATTACGTCTCGTGATGCTTTATTTGTTTATTTATTGATAATTTATTGATTGAGTCGTTGTAATTTTCCCTATAGCTTGAAAATGTTTAAGTGCAAGTTAGAAACATTTGCATTTTTGGTAAAAATAAGTGGAATTGAGTTGGTGTTCGACAGTGGTCGCGCTATTAGAACTCTAAATTCAAAAGTCGATGTCTCGAAATCTATTAGAAATAATTGATTGTAGTTTTTTTCAAAAACTTTCGTAACATTTCTGCTATATTTTCTTCGCAGACAGTATGTGAAAATCTTTATAAATAAAAAGTTACACGATTGCTGAAAATTGCTATTCACTAAAATTAAATGGATGGGTTGTTTAAAATTTTTGAATGGAAAAGACAACCTTATCAATTTCTTCTTATAAACTTATTGTAAAAGATCCGATCTTCAAAATAAAAAAAAAGTTTCAATACTAAAGTGGTTCGTAAGCTATGGCGTGTTATGAGTTAAAATGTTGAGTTTTTAAATTATGGCAATTGCTGACGTTTTCTCGTTATTAAAAAAATGGGTACCTTAACGATATCCTTATAATTCCATTTCAGATGCCCAGAAACATATCTAATGATTCTAGTTTTCTTTTCAAAAAAAAATCTTTTAAAAATAAGCGGTTTGCCATCGTGATTTTACTTTACTTGATAGGGAAAGGCGTACCGGCAACGCCGCAACAGAACACCGTCGCATTTCTATCTCTCCGACTTAATAAGATCCCTATGCGATTTACTTCCACACATGTAAATACCGATCCAAAAGAAACAGTTGCCAGCACGGTATGAATGTATTTCTTAAACATCTTAACTTTTCAGACACAGAGTGGTAAAATTTTGTCTTTTTTTATCAAAATATCTCTGATGTTATATTTTTTGATACACGTCTCCCATGCATCAAGACGTTATATCTTGATCTACAAAAAAAATGTTCCATTTTTTCTTTAAATCATTGTGGAAACGATTCCCCAACAACAGTCACCGCATCAAATTTTCAACGATTTGATCCTGAAGTAAACTGACTCTAATTTTTTAAAGGAAAACTATGCGTCAGACGAAAAAGTCAAGAAATAAAAATTGTTTAGAAATGAATGCAGATTTTGAAAATAATTTTTATTTTAAGAGAAGTCAGTGGTGTACCATTTTTTCCTTCAAAAATATTCAATATAAAACCCATATAGACGGCACTGGTTGAAATAAATAAAATTGTTTTTACATCAAAAAAGTTATTTTGATGCATATTAGACGTGTATCGAGTTTCTTAGATATCTGTAACAACATCAGAGTTATTATGAATTTTTTTTTACAAAATTTTACCACCCTATATCTCAGAAATTACATACATACACACATACATACTGCCATTACTCGCTGACGAGTATTCGACACACATCAGAAGATGCATCCCAAGTAGCAAATTTTATTTTATAAAGGCTGTATAAACAGCTATGTGATCATTTTTATAGGATACCTCAATTCATATAACGTGCTATAAGACCGTAATATGATAGCTTTACAACCAAAAAAGGCCCATTTTTATACAACCCTTTAGTAGTATAGAGGTTCTATAAAAAGGGTATACAACTCTTATGCAACTACTTTACACAGCGTTATATAACTATTATAAAACTAGTTTTATTGTGTAATTACGTGGTCACATCTAAGAAACAGAACAATAAAAACATTTGATCATTTAGCGAGGTAAAAGCGTATTTTATTTTTTACCGAAGAATATTAGGAGCAAATTATATTTTAAGCGTGTCGTAAAATTAATCTAGAGGATGTGGATTGTTAAAAAGGAGACTTTACTCGACGGTGAAAATGGCGGGTAGAGCCAGAAGGTACAACAAATATGTAATATAAAAAATCATTAATAGGGTTTGAAAAGTAGGGACAATTTTTGTTGCGCCGAAAATTTTACTGGTAGATTATAGGTATGTATTTGGCAAAAAATTAAAGCGCTTTAATTTCGATTATGGTTTACATATAAATTTAAGCAATAAAATAAAATTAAATTTTCAAAGATTCTTGTTTTTAATTTAATTAAACAGTTTATTACTGTATGTGGGAATCTTATCACAAAATAGTTCTCAAAAATAACATTTTACAATTTATTTTGATGTTTTTAATTTTGCTTCATATAATGGCAGCCATAGGCCATACAAAAATTCTGCCTTAAACATGGCGAATTATAATGAAACCATTTTATTATAAATGAATCCCTTAAATAAGTCTTTGTTGTAAAATAAAACGGTATAGGATAAATATCTATCATTACGCAGAATTTCCAGGCACTAGAGAACTATTTTTGACATATTGAGATTAGTGACAAATAGATGTTACCAAATCTCATTTGATTAGTATTTAAACTAACAAACATGATCAGGTTTTCATGTGTTCATGCACGCAACGCATTTCATGCATGCCCGACGAGTGAGCGGCAACCTAAGGACTTGGAAACACAACAATAAAACAATACAAACATTACTACAGTAAAACTTTTACATCAACGTGGCAACAATGCTTTTAAGAAGCCAGACAAACCGAGAGATTTGCTTTTGGGAACCCAGGAAATTCCGGGGATTATTTGCCGTAATTTCGATGAGTTTTTTCTTACATGCTCTTTATAACTACCACTGCGTTTGTTAACTTTTTTCCAACTTTGTCCAGAATTCATAATAGCTGTGATTGATTATACTCGTACGTAGATATTACTTTTGCAACAACAATAACAAAATAAATAACTATGTATACCATTTAATTTAAAATGAGGTTATATTATACATTCCCAGTTTTATAATGCAGATATTACAGCGAATTTATTTTGTTAATCACAATTTTATCATATAAGGCTATATAACTAGTGTTGTATACAGCACCGTAGTTTAACACAATAAAACATTCTATCATACAACCTAATACAACTTTAATAAGACAAGTTTAAGTAACTATTATATGATCTTGTGACTACTAGTTATATGAATATTATAGAACTTATACATGGTGGGTATAAGAGTCTAATAAAATAATATGTTTGTTATCATATAGCATTGTCTTATTAAGTGTTATATCATACTAAAAGAAATTATTGTTTAATGCGTTATAAAATACGTTGTAAAAACCACTAGAAAATAGTTTAATATGACAACTTTTATTAAAAAACATAATGGTCGAAACCAAACGCTTAATAAAATCAAGCAATCCTTAAGACAACGCTATTCGACTGTTATAAAATAATTCAATCCTTTTAGAACCTCTTTTTGCTACTTGGATGGTCACGCAAGGCGTTTTCTTTCATGAGCTTTTCTGTGACTGAAAAGCCCGATACGTGATGTTATCTGCCTACCGCACTCCGGACATTCAAAAATCTTATTGCTTTGTTGCCTCTTTACTTTATGGTTGTCGCTGTTAACTGAGTTTACAACTCTTCTCCATTGAGTTCTATTATGAGCTGCTTCTTCCCACTCATTCTGCATGTTAATCCCCTTTAAGTTTTCGTGGAAAATGTCCTTGTATCTTTTCAGTTGTCAACCCGGCCTCATCTTACCGTCTACAAGCTCACCGTAAAGTAGAGATTTTGGTATGCGGTTTTCTTGCATTCTGCATACGTCACCAGCCCATCTTAAGCCGAATTTTGTAACCATGACTCCAATACTCTCGCAGTTAGCTTTTTCAAGGACCGATACGTTTGAGACATGATGGCACCACCGGATTCTTATGAGTTGTCTAAGGTGTCTCTGTTGCAACTTGTTTAATGCGTTCATGTGTCGGCGGTACGACACCCAGGCTTCGCTCCCATATAACATGGTGGGGATTATAATTGCTCGGTACACTGCAGTACATCTCACTGCAGTACACACTCGGTACTGTGCTCGGTACACTGCTCGGTACATCTCAGAAATTAAGATGTTTAGGACATACATTTATATAAAGTTTTTTCCTTAGAAAAGGTCCAAGAATCGCTTCCTGAAATATTAGCATATCATTAAGGAACACCCTGTATTGATAAGCAAATTGAATTATTTTAAATATTTAGAAATTGTTACAACATTTCTAGTAATATTATACACAAATATACAAATTTATTAATTCTGTTTTAGGTTATGAAATCTGCGTATTCCTATGTAGCTGTAATGAAAGAATCTTTGGTGAAAAAATAATATTCTGATCACTTGCTGGCCGTATTAATATTACACGTTCCTCTTTCTATTTAAAAATATTTACGAATGTATCGATAATTTTTAAATTTCTATTTAAAAATACGTACGAATGTAAAAATAAATACTCACTATATTATCCTAAGTACCTATTTAGTATACAGGGTGTTTCAAAAACATGTGCCATCTCTCGTGTGGAGATTCCTCACGCAAAAATAAGATTTATTTTTCGTATCAACATAGGTCCGATTCGGCTTTGTTTTTGAGGGTAAAAGTTACTAAGTGCTACATATTTTAATGCTAAAAAAGTGTCGATAAATGTCGATAATTAATCAAGAACGTGCATATGGGTAATCACTGGAATAATTTTGTATGTATATCCGGTTTACAGCGTCCTTCGCCGCCCTCCGGTCTCCATGCGCCACCACCTGGAATATTTTTCAAAAAAAACCATGTGCGCCACTGACTTTTTTCTTTTGATATCAAAATTGTCTAGGCCGTTTAACGACAATTAAAAGTTATCTTTTGATATTTTCCCGAATTCGGCCTTCTTGATGAGCTAAACGCAATTTTGTTTATCGAAAATTAAAATAAAAATTAAATTAATAAATTATATATTTTACCTAATTTATTATTAAATATTATTACTGTTAGTCCAACCTACAGCAATATCAAATAAAAACATAATGGTATTTAAGATAATTACAATTCCAACGTAATCTCACTTTGCGTATCAGTGATTTGTGGATGTGTGCAACTATATTTTAGTTTTTGTTTTCTCCTTAAAAAAAAATGGGCCACTTTTTTAAGCTTAACCCAGGCTTAACCTCACATGTGGGAGGAGGATGGGGTCTGCTTATTTCCTAAGCTAAATTTGTTTTCTCCTTAAAAAAAATGGGCAGCCACTTTTTTAAGTTAACCTCACATGTGGGAGGAGGATGGGGTCTGCTGATTTCCTAAGCTAAAAAATTAAATTAAGATGCACCAGTTTAATGCAGCATCTCTTCCGGATAAAAAGCATTTATGGGTGGAGGCAAGACATCACTACTACTATTATTATTTTGCAAAAGACTCGACCTCTTTCTGTAAAATGTAGATGAATGCCTAAATGCCTTTTTAGTGTTTTTTTAGGCATAATAAAAAAATTAAGTTTGTTTACAAAAACTTTTTATTAGGTTATGTTCATGATGTTCATTAGGTCGCAAAGGGTTGTATTTACGGACGTAAATAGAGATACGTAAATTAGGTTATAAATATGAACATAAAATACAACAAAATATAATTGAACGTTAGTTTAGGGATTATCAGTGAGACGTATCCTATTCGGACAACGGGTAAATCGAGTCGAATGTTTCAAGACATAGGTTCATCCTTGTTTAGTCAAACCTCCTACAATACAAGGATAGACTTATGTAGGAAATGCATTGAAATTATATAGCCATCCTTCAACATCGGGACAGGAATTTAAGCGGTACCCTCCGTATACTTTATTTTAAACGTATTTGCTGGCACCCATAATGGCGGCGTGCGCAAGGATATGCGCGTAGCTTTCGGGCTAAAGCAAAAAGCGAGTTGGCCTGCCGTGTGATTTATATGCCGTGGTTTCAGTTTAATTCTCAAATCAAATCAAAATTATGAAACATGAAGTTTATAACAGCTCATAAATATAATAAAATAAAATTTCTTTGATTTGAAGTTACTTGAAATGAAAGGTATTTTCTTTTAAAATTAAATAAAATTTATCAAAATCCACAAACGGTCTATTTATTAGTGTTTCTTTTGTATTCGGGTTAGGTTAGGTTTGGTTTGGTGGTTAAAATGTTCTTTATAAGGGGTTCCCCTTATAAAGAACATTTTAACAATCAACGGTAAATCATAGCCCCATAAATTAAGAAACAAAATATTAATTTAGTGAAACTAAGTAATGCAAATCTGTGAATTTAGTATATCTAAAATGTCTATACCTCTGTAGCGGATTCATCTCTCCAAACAAGTCCTATGGGTATTTCGCCACTTGTAATGTAAGAAAATCTCCAAAATAAAATAGTTATTTTTTGCAAACACTGCTGCGGTAATCCAACGGAGACCACTGGTCAGCAGTGATTTACTAAGTTTTCCTAAGACACAAATAGCCAAGATTCAATGTACCAAGAGACATTTTTACCATCGTAATCGAACTCAAATTTCCCATGTCAAAAAACACCTAGACACGAATTTTCATCCAATTATCGAAATTCATTCAGAAATTATTTGGTAACAACCGAAATAAAAATGAAACTTCTACACCCTGTAGGGCTAGTTAGGGTAATGGTAAACAGGGGCAATTGTAAACAGGTTCAATAACTTGAATTTGGCGGGTAGGGAATAAGTAGACTGGCTACAGTGGCGCCCACATCTTCGATGTGTATTGAATCCAATGACTAAAGAATACAAGGACAAATAGCAACCGAGACCAAACTGTGACCATTCTTCCAAACAGTGCCGTGGCACATATTTTTCTTAACATAATATCTGACAAACGAATCTAAAACAGCGGCAGGAATTCGGGCAAAAAATGTCGATGTTGTCACGTTTAATTATAGAAAAGCAAAGTTGCTCGATATTACCTATAAATTGAACATATTTTAGTTCATTTCAGCATACATAATTATATATATGCTAATATGTTGACGTAGTTCTTATTGTAATAATGTATATTTATCTAATTAACAGTTTTCGTTCATTCTGCCTATTATAAAAGGTAAAGTATTTCCTTAAGATAATGTCCGCTTAGGGTAAGCTGGCAACGCTGACAAAATTCATCATGGCATCCCGGATTCAACCAGTCTGGTTGGTCGAGATTCTCGCACGTCTTGCCGCCATTACCCCCAACTTTATGCCCCTCTCTAGAAATAGTAGAAACAGTCACTACTATTGAAAAATCCAGTGGCGGGGTTATTGTATTGTGTTTTATATCTTTAACTTGATTTGTGTTTATTGTAATTAGTACACGCGTTTTAACAAATATTACTATATTTGGCAAATGACTAAACAAAATGTAGGTACATTTAAAGTAAAATAATATTATAAACTTTACTGGAAAATATTATAAAAATTCCTGATATATTTTTATGAAACACCGCACGCTCGTGGATATTTTATGAATGAAATCGGTCATGATTTTAGAAAATTGCGATCCCCTCGCCGTTGCCCCGTTGTTTCAGATCCGTTTGTCAGACTGTAGCCGCTTGAAACGATATTTATATTTTTGGTAAATATTTTCACTACGTTTCTGGTGTGTCCTGTGGTATCATACTAATTAATTACGAAAAAAACGTATTAAATTGTTAACAAAAGGTACAAAACTAGTATCGACGTATAGCACATATCAAGTACATATAATATCAGAAAAATAATTATCGAATTCAATAAAAAAAAACGCTAAAAAGGTGTAGTGGACTGTTTATTTCCCTATAAAACGTAACTCCTGGATCTTTCTTATCATTGCGCCTTTTACACTTGAAAGCTGAACAAATTACCATTGTAATAAAATTTATACAAAGTTCACTACACACAACCAACTATTAAAAATCGCTAAAATTGTCGCTGATGAACAGCTGATGATTCATTCGTTATGTCCAAAAAAATGGCGTCTAAAGGTCACAAATTTGGCTGCAGGCCCGTATATGGCCGTTACATGTCCTTGTATTCTTTAGTCATTGATTGAATCGATTAAATGAGTTTCTAGTACTGCCAGACCTACCGTTTTTACGGTAGATCCACCGTTTTCACCCTGGTGGTTACCGTTCTACCGTACAGACTACTAATTCTACCGCAATTCTAAAAGCAGAGAAAGTTACCAAAATTTATTATCGAATTTTTTAAAAATAAAAAAAGGCATATTATAATATTATTATAAATTATAAATCTACTATCGATAAAACTATGAATAACGATTCGGTGCCTCATCTCTATGCAGACGTCACAATTGAAGTAGATATTTCGGGAATTCCCAGAAACGACCAGCCAGCTGAGTTCGTGTTGTTCCGTAATACAGGGTGGCGCACCTCATTCGCCTCGGTTGGTTATACGAAAACGAAAAGATGTAAAAACAAAATATTTTCTGGGTAAATGTGGGAAGACAATGTGCATAATTTAAAATTATTTTGAAATGTACAGGGTGTGTCAGAACTAAGATCAATACCAAAGTTATATTTTTTTAAGGAACACCCGGTATTTTATTTAATTTTTGGATTCTGGACATAAAATAAGGTATTTATTATAAGGGTTTAATATGTTTAAAAGCTTTGGTTTTTAAGATATTTAAAAATATTTAAATATGCATTCTATAATATAATAAAAGTTTGTCAACACCTTGTACATTACTTTTCAAAATTAATTCTTGCGCTGACTTTCAAGCCAGAGAAATAAACTTTACTAAAAAATTTTATTGCTTCCCTAAATGTATACAGGGGTATCGAAAATTGCTGGTCCATTTTAAATATTTATTTTACATAAAAACTTTGTTATTTCAAATGCAACACTATGTATTTTTTTAAATAAGTTGAAGCAGATTTCAATGCTCTTTCAAACTATATTACGGTTTCCTATACCTATCTGGCTCAGATTTTGAATAAAAAGCGATTTTTCATTAAAATTGTAATCAAGATGGCTGGTGTCGCCATAGCAATTTTCTAGTGACACCTAGTAGCTATTTTCAAAATCGACATTAGTTTATGGACTTTATTTAAATTTATAACAGGTTATTTTTATTTCATTTACCTACAATAAGGTTAAAAAGTAAGTATTTATTTATTTTATCAAGAAAAATGAATTAGTATCTGCGGGCGGAAGGAATGGATATGTTATTAGTGATTTTATTCTGTGAAGACAATTGCTTGTTGGACTGAAGGGTTTATGGTCAGATATCCAAATAAGAATTTTCTCGACAAGCGTTCCTTTGAAAAACTACTTTTCGTATTTCGCAGAGCTGATGGTGGTATATGAAAATCATATTAGGCAGAGACCTGTCATTGGAAGTGAATAAAATGAACTTGCCTTAATTGGTTCTTTTATAGAAAATCCAATACATATATAAGTCATCGTAATACAAATCAAAAAGAACTACCTACTTCTTTATTTTTCTTGATAAAATAATAAATACTTACTTATTAAACTATTGTAGGTAAATTAAATAAAAGTAGACTAGTTATATATTTAAATAAAATACATAAACTGATGTCGGTTTTAAAAATAGTTACTCTCACTAGCAAATTGCCATGGCGAACCCAGCCATCTTGATCTTGATTGCCATTTTATTGAAAAATCGATTGGATCGCTGGGTTGGAAACCCTAATATAGTTTGAAAAAGCATTTAAATCTACTTCGCCTTAATTTAAAAATACATAGTGTTGTATTTGAAATAAAGAAGTTTTATGTAAAATAAATATTTAAAACAGACCAGCAATTTTTGATACCCCTGTATACGTTTAAAGAAGTAATAATTTTTTTTTTGTAAAGTTTATTTATTTCTCTGGCTTCAAAGTCAGCACAAGAATTAATTCTGAAATGCAATGTACAGGGTGTTGACAATATTTTTTATTATAGCATGCATATTGAAATGTCTTTAAATATCTCAAAAACCAAAGGATTTAAACATATTAAACTCTTATAATAAATGCCTTTATTTTATGCCCAAGAATCCAAAAACGAAATAAAATACCGGGTGTTCTATAAGAAAAAATATAACTTTGGTATGGATCTTGGTTCTGACACACCCTGTATATTTGAAAATAATTTTAAATAATGCGCATTGCCTTTCTACATACGAATGAGGTGTAGTTAGTTGTATGTTTGTAATACTTGTATTAATAGACTGCATGTTACAATTTGAGATTAACTTTAACGGGAAATGAAGTATAGAGGTGTTTACAAATGTCCCAGTAAAATAGGATTGCGGGGCAATTGTAAACTTGATTTTGGGGAATAGCAAACACGTGCTAACATTGATAAGCTCCAAAACAGATATGAAAAAGATCAAAAAACGAGAAACGTTAAAAATGCATTGATTAGGTTTGTAGGAATGAAGATAATATATTCTGATGTTTTTGAAAAACCTTAATATTTTTTGTACACTTTTGATGAATCAGTAATACATAATTTGTCTTTATAACAAAATGTTTTATTTTGTCTACATGGGGAAAATTGTAAATAATTAAACACATTGATAAACTTATAACCCAACTAAAAACAAAGTTGTGTAGCACTTGGTTCATTATTACCCCTTTAAAAAATATGTTTACATTTACCCCAAAACAGGACAATATTTGATTTTCCTATGGGGTAAATGTAAACAAGTTTTGAAAGTTTTTAAAACCTATTGCAAATTTCTAGCTGTCCATCAAAGCACCTATTAAGTAAAGTGTCTTAAAATATACCCTTTTACAATTTTCATTGCAAACGTCAAAGTTTTAAAGTTATACCTTGTTAAAATTATTTTTGTTAAAATCGTTTACCATTACCCCAAACCAAACTAACCCTATCTCCAAAACGAAGCATTTTTGAACATAAATTTATACAAACTTTTTTATTTATCCTAAATATATCCTTTTATTATATATTCTCAGAATATTCTGCCAAAGTTTTCCGAATACAATTCGGAACACCCTGTATTATACCCCAAAATATAGAGACAAATGTCAGCAAATAGAGACAATGTGACCAGAAAGTTTTATATTTTTTATTTATTTATTAAGTATGCTTTAGACGTAGGCAGATAAACTAAAATTGGTATAAACTCACTAAATCATAAGACATTTAGATTTATATGGTATAACATAATTATACTAACATTAACAAAAATAATTTCTCCATTAGGATGTAATATTTATAATTAACCTACTATACTAGTAGCACCTCTCAAAGCAAGATATCCAGCAGTTATGTCCATAGGCAGATCGATAAGTGTGGCATATTCTTCTTTATTTGCATATCGCAATCTACTTTGTGGATCAGTATAAGGAGCAGGTATGCCAGATAAATCAGAAAATTTCTCTGGTGGTGTAAAGGAGGGTGGAGCATTTATGCTGCTATAATGAACGGCATCATCAGGCCATGGTAAAGCTTTCTCGGATGAAATGATTTGTTTCAAACCCTTCCAAGTGCGCTTCTTGTTGTTATGTCTCGATACAAACCACGAAGTTGTCTTAAACACAGGTTTCTGTTCTAAGGTGTTTTGGTCAACGTTCATTTCCAGTAAAATTATTAGATAAATAAATTATTTAAATGTAAAACCCACTGTTTACAAACTTGAGTTTCGTAAACAGAGATAGTTCGTACCATAGGTTCGTACATAACCTTACAATTTTACATCAAAAATAAAAATAAAATAAAAAGGGATGGATAAAAAATCTTAATGTTCGATATCAAAAACGCTTGCTACCCCGATTACGTCATAAAAGACCTCGCTGCGCTTTACTTGATTCTTGATTACACAGAAGTGCTCGATTCTTTAAGATTATTATAGAAATCAAAGTAGAGTGTTATTAATAATAATATAATAATATAATATATATATAATAATTAATATAAAATATAAGTATAAGTAAGTTAAATTATTTATACATCTATGAATTTTATTTAAGTGAATATTTTTTCCTTTATTACAAAAACGCAAAATAATCTTCAGTTCAGGGTCAGGTAAGGTACCCATCAGATAAGTATTTCAAAAAGAATTTATTATACTAGAACCCGTATATTCGAAAAAATAAACGGCTTCCAGTTGGCTTGGAAATTGGAAATGAACATCGATAACATTCCCCCACATTCCTCATATTAATTTTTAGCTAAATATTTTACATATAAAATGACAGCGATCTTCATTTCACAGCCATCGCTGACGCCGTTTTTTTCGATCATACGGTACAAGAAAATACTAAATTTGATACAAAATGATTAATCTAAAATCAAATAAAAATCTTATAAGAAAAAGAGAGAATACGAGATAATAAAGACACTAAAAGGGATTTAAAAATACCACTGAAATACAAGAAGATATGAGAAGATATTAATTTATTTTTGTGTTAAAAAATTCTAGGTAAACATAAGTAAAACTTCTTAGGCCTTTAATTTATAACATTGGCTATATTGTGATATTAATAAACTAAATTATAAAGAAAAATATACCCATTTCAACAAAAAAAAAGAAATGGTATTTTACCTTACCTAATATTTATGCAACCATTAATTCATCAACTTCAAGTATGAAAAGAAGCCCAAAAATATTCTTTTAATACATTTTTCTAAACAAATATATCAGGCTATTATAGACTGAAGGAATATGAAAATAAATTAAAAAGGAATCTAGTAATTCTTAAAAGACAAAGACTCCCTATAATTGAAGAAATATGTCCAAATGAAATGTCATAAACTAAAATATTGAACGTGCGTTTTGTTTGTAGGTCTACGATTACATCTTTTTATAGAACGAGGTTTATATGCTTAATACGACAAATTATGTCATAAAACACATTGATTACACCAGCCTTTCATAGGTTTACGCCTCTACCACACCTCTACTTATAAGCACATAACATAGACATAGATTAAAACATTTATCTTTAGAAAAAACAATATATTACTCTAAAAACTATACAATATACAATTGTACAATTGCGTTGCCAGCGGCTTTCTCATCTGAAATAATTCAACCAGATCTGAGCACTCCCGCTTGTCCGGTACTTAATCCGTGATTTAAGTTCCACATGCCAATATATCTCTTATTAAGTTTGTCTTATTAACAAATAACACAGAGACAAACTCGTAATGGGCCTTAACAAGTAAATAAACGTCATTTTCCCTCAAGTAACAAAAATATTTTACTCAAACTAGTTGTTCATTACTGCTTGCTGATAAATCTAGAAGTCTCCAAGCCGACCTTGGATCAGTTTCTGTAACGTCTCTACATAATACCCATACATAATTGACTCTCATGATTTTATCAGCATCTCCTTCCACCACATTTCCTTCCAAGTCCTTTACGACCATAACTTGCTGCGAGGTAAAGGAAATGATTAAAACTGGTCCTTGGTCCATAACTTTTCCCATGACTAGATCTACGTTATCTATATCTAATATTTTTGACTCAATTTTATAACCTTTTTTGTAGGCTTCTTTAATTGGTATTGCGAAAACATTATAAGGCCCTTCGTGGCACCAATCCTTCAATATTTCTAAGTCACCTCTTGTCATAGCTTCAAGTACATTGGGAATAATATCAGTTTCACACTGTTTTAAAAACCGCTTGGTATCAAATGTATTGTCAATTTTACAGATTTCTGTTAAAGTTTCAGATAGTTCTGTTTTTTGAAATAAACCTCCCATTACATCTGATACTTTTTCAGTTAAAGCTCTAGATGCACGAATTAGTGGATTCTCACTCTCGTCATACTTCAATTTCCAGTCCATAACTTTATGTACATAAGGGTTGTTATCTCTAGAAATACAAGCATTTGTATATATATTTTTAAATTTTAAAAACACTAACTTACTTGAAGTCTTGCCACGACTGGTAAAACTTTGAATCTTTATGTAATTCTACACCGGAAGCTTCTGTATTTGGCTCATAATACTTTTGATGCTGTACAGCTGTGGTTTCTTTTCTTTTCCTAAGTTTTGTGGGGCTGACATAAACCCTTCCTAACAAATCATCAATTCTACATAAATATTAAAATATCTATAATGTATCATTACCTTGCATACTAGTGGTATCTATTTCACTCTTGACAGCCTCTGTTGCTTTAGAAATGCTTTGAAACGCACCAGTTTTCCCAATTTCCTGCGCTTTTTCCCCTATTGTATGAGCAGTCTTGCTTATTCCCTCACTTAGTTTACCTGCTTTTTTTGCAATTTCTGTTTTGCCCGTTTCATCTAGAACACCCTGCACTTTGTCTTTAATTGTAGTAAGTTTTTCCTTTAATATATCGCTGCTTTTTGTTGCTTCCTTTTCTACAGTTTCAAACTTTTGGCGTGCAGCTTTCAAGGCATCACTCTGTTCCAATCTTTCGGCTTCTTCTTTAAACTTTTTCAGTGACTCTTTCATTTCCTTATTCTTTGCCAATTCTTCCCTAAAATTATCATACAACCTTGATAAGAAGGAGGGTCGCCTTTGAGGTTCTCTTGAATAATGTCGAATCTACAAATTCGGATATAGATGTTTTAAATTTTCTAGGTTATTACATAAACATTTGATATTCTAATGGTAAATTTGAAATGACTTAACTGCATCTCTAGTGGATCTGGTAACTTGGGTAAACATAAATTTGCTGAACTGGTGCATGTTTTCGAAATTATTGTACTTTTTCTAATATTTAGGGGCACGTTTTTGATCCTTGAACTTGTGTAACCTCAAATATGCCGCCTTGGAATAAGTTTTATGTTTTTGTTACTGAATAGATATTTTAAAAAAATTATATAAACAATTCCTTACATAGAGAATTACTATATGTTAAATAATCGTTTTTTCGTACATTTTCACAATTTTCTTTTATTTGACGTATGACTAGAAAAAAAAAACGGAAAACGAATGACACATGACAACAAGTCAAACTGACAAATTTAAATTCGAAAGTCTCTTAGGAGACTAGAAGCTTATTATTCTAAATTCAAAATTAAATGTAAATATGGAGTAGAAATATTAATTAATTTTCCTAGAGATAAAACGGATAGAGTTAGTTTTAAACTAAGTATCCACCTTTTTTTATTCGATTTATTTTTGCACAAATAACAAGAATGTGAATTCGGTGATAAACAGCCATTAAACAGCCGAGCCGTTCCTAGCGCATTCGCCATAAATGGCGATCCATGAATGTTTAAACAGATAAAATAAAATTTAAATATTTTGTAAATAGTAGAATCTATCCCTCTACGGATATTTACCCTATGGTATTATCCATGCACACATTTTAATTAAGTCAATGGCGATAGTGTAAAATTTCGTAACAGCCCTGCAAGAGTACTTTCCATTAGGGTAGAAAGTACTACTGATAGTACTTCTTTTATTCTTATAGATACAGTAATTTCAATAAAAAAAAATTAAAACTAGGACTTTTTTATGTAAAAAAGGTGCTCTTCGATTATTTGGAAACAGTGAACGGTTTTCAAGAAATTTGTGTTAAAAGGTTCCATAATCAGGGCCTATTTTACCATAAGGCCCATAAGGCTCGGGCCTTGGGCCTGGTGGTCTGGGGGCCCGTTAAAGGTTGTATAATATTCATACTTTCTTGAATTTTTGAATTTCATTGGAAAAGAGGGCCCGAATTTTTGCTTGGGCCTTATAGACGGAGAGCTGGCTATATTAAAAACCTTTTATCATCGTTACATGGCTAATTTTTTGTGTGAAGTAACCTTTTGTGTAGCCATTGAAATAGTCATGTCTGCCAGCGCGATACCGGGGTGTGACCGGGGCTTAAAGCGGGGGCGGCCCAAGGGGCGGCCAATCGAAAGGGTGAAATTTTGACACTAAAAATATTATAAGGTAGGTACACGAGTTATAATTGCCAAATAGATTTTATTTATTATTAAGAAACATGTAAAATTGTTGACAGACATTTTTCTCGTGGTTGAAATACCGGCAGACAATGCGAAAGCGGCATCGAATTTTGACAAAAGAAAATCATTGCATACATACATGTCGATTGGTGGAATGTCATCTTTATTGTTAATTAATTTAAAAAGCCATATGCAAAAGGGCAGACAAAAAAATCGTTATTGAAATAATAAAAAAATATATTTATAATATAATCGTATATTATATGATTTATCTATACTTAAATGGATGAGGCGGCGAGCGTTCCCTGAATGCGCTAGAGTAATATCGCGCTTTTGAACTGTCTGCAGTTGATTTAGCCACGATCTCTTTGTCTGCCCTTTTGTATACGGCTTTTAAAATAAATAAATATGACATTTCACCAATTATTGGCATGCAAATGTGCCATAATTTTTTTCATTCTTCAAATTTCATTTTTTAATAATTTTTAAAATTTCATGCCTCTTTCACGTTGTCTGTCGACATTTTAGCGACTAGAAAAATGTCTGCCAACAATTTTCCACGTTTCTTAATAATAAATAAAAGCTATTTTCGCCATTATAACCCGTGTATCTCTATAATATTTTTGGTGTAAATAATTTCACCCTTTCGATTGGCCGCCCCCGCTTTAAGCCCCGGGATCACGCTGGCAGACATGACTATTTCATTATGGCTACACAAAAAGATACTTCACACAAAAAACTAGCCATGTAACGATGATAAGGTTTTTTATCTTAGACTATTAGGGCCCGACCAGATGAAAAATAGACCCTGTCCATAATGCATCGATTTTAGCATTAGCGAAATCAGGAGTCAGGAGGTTAATTATTTATTTAAAAGTTCTTTAAAATCGATGCATGTATTTAAATTCAAATATCTTGAGAACCGTTCACCTATTCGAACTAAACGAACTGTTTGACTTAAAAAAGTTCTAGCTTTTCAAATCATTTGTTTAAATTACTGTGTCTATAAGGATAAAAGAAGTACCACCAGTAGTAGGACTCCCTACCCTAATGGAAAGTACCCTTAATTAGGCCCGTTACAGAATTTTTCACAATCGCCATTCGCTTTGGTATTAAAATGTGCATAGGTATCAAATTTTAGGAAAAACGTGAACCAACGTTCTTAAAAATAAACAAAATATTTTTATTTATCCTTTCGCGGGCTATAATTTCTTTTTTTTAGGGCAATGAATGAAGAAGCATTTTAGGGCATATGTTCATAGGAAGTTTTTGTTTTATTTTTATCTGTACAATCACCCACCTAATTAGATACACTATTTTTTTGACAACCTGTATAAAACAATATTTTTTCTCTTATATACAGGGTGGTCCGAACTGCATTCCGGAAACTTCGGCAGCATATTTTACTGATAAAAATAAGTAAAAAAAGTTCATATAAATATATGTCCTAAAATTTGGAAAAAATTAAAAAAAAGTTTCACTTTTATTTCAATTTTTTCCAAATAATTTCTGAAGTAACGTTAATATTTGGATGAAAATTGGTGTCTGGAGTTTTTTTTTAAACGAGAAATTTAATTTTAATGTCAAAATGATTCCTGTTTGTTGGGGGCACCACCTACATGTGTTTTAACTGTTTTGAAGAGTAATAACTTTTTGTCCGTACCTGTATAAAACTACTGAGTGAAAAAATATACATATCCGTGATTTTCTACGTAATAAATGTTTCTTTGTAAAAATCGCTACGAGCAACCGTTCTCAAGATATTTACAATGGAAATAGTCAATACATGTCATTATTGACTAAAAATAAACATGTTGAGTAGATTTATTTGACTGAAATGAGAAATTTGGGAACTTTTTATTTTTTTAAACTAATCATAAATTTTTCTTCTAAAAAATGATGATAAAACAGTTTCTGTTGAACTTTTGGCACAAAAACATTGCAAATTTATTATATTAACCTAATACTAATTAGTCAACATGTTTAATTTATGTCAATGATGGCAGGTATTGGTAATTTCGATTCCAAATATCTCGAGAACCATTACTTGTAGCGATTTTTACCAAAAGACCTTTTTTACGTAAAAAACATCGCAAATGTATATTTTTTAACTAGCTAGTTTTATACAGGTACGGACGAAAAGTTATTACTCTTCAAACCAGTTAAAAAATACATAGGTGGCGCCCTCTACGAGTAAGAGTCATATTAACATCGAAATCAAATTTCTCATGTCAAAAAACTCCCAGATACCAATTTTCATCCAAATATTGACGTTACTTCGGAAATTATTTGGAAAAAATCGAAATAAAAATGAAACTTCTAGACCCTGTATCTCCGAAACTAAGCATTTTTGGTCATACATTTAAAAAAGCTTTTTTACTTATTTCTATCTGCAGAATATGTTGCCAAAGTTTCCGGAATACAGTTCGGACCACCCTGTATAATATATTGTAATAATTTTAATTTCTCTTAATTCTTTAAAGTAGGTAAGTATATAATAATATAATAGGTATCTAAGGTAATTGACCTTTTTAATTTTTTTCAATTAAACAGTATGATTAAAAATTAAATTTATAACCGTAGTAAATTGTTCACCTCTTTATCAAGCTGAAGCTGAATTAAAGCTATTTTCAGCCAGATGGAACTCTAATTTTAGAACTTCAAGATTGAACGTTTTGATATTTATAATCCTAAATAAATTAGGGAAACGGGAGTTCATTCATACTTCTGGTCTGCTTTTCAATTCATTTTTTATTGGTTAAGATATTTATATATATATATACACATTTGATGCCAAGATTCCTATTTCTAATTATATGTATAACTAAATACTAACGTATGTACGGCTAAAATAAATAAGTGCGTTATACATATTGGCAACATCTTTTATCCTAGACCAGATATACATACAGGGTGTTCCACTTAAGATGGATACAAGCCAATATCTTGATTGTTTGTTGAGCGATCTTTTTCATTTTTGGCAGGAGGCTGTATGGCTATAAGACGTACATTTTGCCCAGGGTAAGAAATGCGATACCTCATAGACGTTAGACGTACGTTTTAATGGGGTTTGATATTTTTCGAGTCAGGAGTAAACTACCCTTAGGACAGTATTTATTTCGAATCTGATAAATTATATTGAATCCTCCTTACCCAAGATACTTAAGTTCTAATTTTGATAAATATTGATACAGGGTGTGTTATTAAAATAAGACATTTTTATTTTTATTTTTATTTTTTTAAGTATTTACGACGCCACTGGATAAACAACTGGTTAATTATCAATAACCAATTATAACCAATTATCAATTAATAATCGATTTAAGTTTTCAGATAGCTTCCATAATAATTAAGATAAGATACAAAAAAAAAATATTTTCAATTTATTTCGATTACTTTAAGAAATTGTTTGCTAATGAAATAAATTAATATATTTTTTAAAATATTTCTCAATAAAACGATTAAAAATCATATTTCAGATTCCATTGAAAACTGGGTTTTTAAATTGTTTTGTAACTCATTTTATTCATTTTTGTATTAGCAAACTCAAAAAGCAATTTTTTAAAGTAAACAAAATAAATTGAAAATATTTAGTTTTTTTGTATCGTATCTTAATTATTATGGAAGCTATCTGAAAACTTAAATCGACATTAATTGATAATTTGTTTTCAGTTGTTTATCCAGTGGCGTCGTAAGTACTTAAAAACATAATAATAAAAATAAAAATGTCTTATTTTAATAACACACCCTGTATCAATATTTATTAAAATTAGAACTTAAGTATCTTGGGTAAGGAGGATTCAATATAATTTATCAGATTTGAAATAAATACTGTCCTAAAGGTAGTTTACTCTTGCCTCGAAAAATGTCAAACCCCATTAAAACGTACGTCTATGAGGTATCGCATTTCTTACCCTGGGCAAAGTGTACGTCTTATAGCCATACAGCCTCCTACCAAAAATTAAAAAGATCGCTCAACAAACAACCAAGACATTGGCTTGTATCCATCTTAAGTGGGACACCCTGTATATTAATATATGA